CTGAATCCATGTCTCTGTGTCACTTTCTGTGTCTGTCTCTTTTTGTCTCTGTCTCAATGTCTGTGAGTCTGTGTCTGTGTTTCACACTATGGTCTCTGGTGCCCCCCGTTACCCCCCCACCCACCGCACCAGCCAATAGGAGACTTAATACAAGTTTTCAAAATTCTGAGGGGATTCGATAGAGTGAATGAGGAGAAACTATTTCCATTAGTGGGTGGGTTGGTAACCTGAGGGCACCAATTTAAAATAGTTGTTAAAAGAAACAGAGCGGAGGTGAGGAGAAATGTTTTCACACAGCGAGTTGTTCGGATCTGGAATGCGTTGCCTGAAAGGGTGGTGGAAGCCGATTTGATAACAACTTTTAAGAGGGAAGTAGATAATTATTTGGGAAGGACAAGTTTGCAGGGCTATGGGGATAGCGCGGAGGAGTGGGATTGATTTGGATAGCTGTTTTCAAAGAACTGGCACGGACACGATGGGCCGAATTGCCTCCTTCTGCACTGTATAATTCTATGATTCTAATCAGGGGGTAGCTGTGTGAAGGTTGCTTTAGTTTGCACAGAGCCAGTGTCTGTCAAGGTTGGTTGGATTTAGTGACCGAGTCAGTTTGTATCAGGGCTGGTTGTGGAGCATTAGTTTGTGTGCGAGTCGGTTCAGGGCAGGTATAGTCAGTGACTCTCCGTCGAGGCCAGTTGAGAGTTAATCTATCCAGGACTAGTTTAGTGTAGATACCTCGGATCAGTCACTCTAGGGCTGGGTTGGAGCAGTTTGCACGGCTGGTTTGCTAGTGATCAGCAATGTGTAGCTGCCGAGAGTCAGTGTCTGCCGCCTCTGGGTCAGTGTAGCTGCCACGAGTTAGTTTCCATCCAGACTGGTTTAGTGTAGAGTTATTTTATGCTGAGATTGGTTCAGAGTTGGGTTTATCAGGGTGAGTTTAGTCCAGATGTTGAGAGTTGGTTTCTGCCAGTGTTTCCTGAGTGTATTTGAGAGTTGGGTTTGTTGGGTTTAGTTCAGAGGGTGTTTGAGAGTTGGCTTGTGTCAGGGCAGGTTCAGAGTAGTTACACAGTATAGTTTAGTGAGTGGGGCCAGGGTTGGATTAGCAGAATTGTTGAGTGAATTTCTGTGGGTTTGATCAGTAAAGACCACAAGAGTTGGTCAGTGTCAGGGCTGTGGAGGTGGAGGGGAGGTTGTGTGGGGGGGGGGGGGGGTAGGGTAATTAGGGTTAGGGTTAACCAATTGGGGTTAGTGGTGTAGTTCCCCAAGTGATGGGGGCCTCCAAGTGGTGGGGCTCGCTATCGGTGGGGGTGCCGAAATGGTGGGGACCCCAAGTGGTGAGGGCCCCCATGTGGTAGGGGACCCATGTGGTAGGGAGCGCCAAGTGGTAGGGGACCCCGTGTTAGGGTCCCAAGTGTTGGGGACCACAATTGGTGGAGGTCCCAAGTGGTGGGGGATCCCAAGTGGTGGGGGGCCACCAAGTAGTAGGGGGACCCAAGAGGTGGGTGCCCCCATGTGGTGGGGGCCCAAAGTGTTGGGTGACCCAAGTGGTAGGGACCTCCAAGTGCTGCGTCTCCCCAGTGGCGGTGGCCACAATTTGTGGGGGCCCCACATGGTTGGGGCTTCCAAGTAGTGGTGGCCCCCAAGTGTTGTGGCCCCCTAGTGTTGGAGGCCCCCAAGTATTAGGGGGCCACCAAGTGGTGGGGGACCCCAACTGGGTCACGTTTTGGGCGTCTTTTTAGCTCACCAATTCTTTGCGTATTTTCCTCTTTACTTTTTTTGTGCATTTGTACACCTTTTTGGGGGAATTTGTTTGGGATTTGCCGTTTGTTTGGAGGTTTCCACGAATTTTCTCATCATTCTTTTGACTTTTCATGTTTTTGTGACTTTGTTGCTCACTAATTTGTCGCAAATTTTCCCCTTTTTTTGCTTTTTTGGGGTCATTTTTGCTCGTATTTTCTCTTCATCGTTTCTCATGTTTTTTTTAAGCGTTTTTTGTCCTAATATTTTCTATATTTGTCGTACGTTTGTTTTTGCAACCTTTTTGGAGCTTTTTTAAGCTCACTAATTTATCACATATTTTCCCTTATCTTGTTTCTTACCTTATTTGGCATTTTTGTGTGTCATCATTCCTTTAGCTTTTTTTCTCGCATTTTCTTTTCATCATTCTTTGTCTTACTTGGGAACCCAACCACTTGGGGGACCCACTATTTGGGCCCCCCCACCAGTTGAGGCCACCGAATGTTGTTTTGGGGCGTGTTTTCTCCTAATTTTTTTGCACTTTTTTTTCAACAATTTGGTATTTTTAAACCTTTCGAGTTTTCCCTCATCATTTTTTTTCGCTTCATTTGGCATTTTTGTGTTTCATTATTTCTTTGTGTTATTTTCGTGCATTTTCTCTTCACTTTTTTCCGGGTACTTTTCATGGCTTTTTAGGCGTATTTTCTCTCTTTTTTTGCGCATTTGTTTCTCATCGTTTGTCGAGTGTTTTTATATCACCAATCGCGTATTTTCCCTCATCATTTCTTTGGTTATTTGGCATTTTTGCGTGTCATCATTTATATATTTTTTAACGCGCATTTTCTCTTCATTGTCTTTTTCATAGAATCATAGAATGTTACGGCACAGACGGAGGCCATTCGGCCCATTTTTGCTTACTTTTCATATCATTTTGGGTGTATTTTCTCCTAATCTTTTTGCACTTTTGTTTCAACATTTTTGATGACTTGTTTCACGTTTTTGGGGTCTTTTTATCTCACTAATTTGTCTCATATTTTCCTCTAATTTGCTTTTTTTTGTAATTTTTGCGTGTTTTTTTCTTGTATTTTCTCTTCATCGTTTTTCAAGTGCTTTTTGGTGTTTTTGTCCTAATATTTTATCCTCATATTTTCACGCATTTGTTTTTGCAACCTTTTTGGAGCTTTTTTAGCTGAGCAATCGGTTGCATATTTTCCCTTTTCATGTTTTTTGTTGTTATTTGGCATTTTTTGTATGTCTTCATTTATTTGTAATTTTCTTTCATTTTCTCTTCATCTTTTTTCGAGAACTTTTTGGGGTTATGGGTGTATTTTTTCCTAATTTTTCACACTTTTTCAACAATTTGGTGTGTTGCTTCAGGTTTGTAGTGTCTTTCTAGCTCACCAATTTTTCACGTATTTTTCTGTTTACTTTCTTGTGTATTTTTAAAAATTTTGGGGGCTTTTTTGTGTGTTTTCACTTCTTTAGGTGTTTCCAAGTATTTTCTCCACATTTTTTCAAGTTTATTTGTTTTTGGCGTCTTTTTAGTTCACTAATTTGTTGCATATTTTCCGCTTATCACTGTTTTGCTTTTTTTTGTCATTTTTGTGTGTTTTCTTTTGTGTTTTTTTCTTTTTTTTCTCTTCATCGTTTTTCATGTTTCTTTAAGCATTTTCTCCTATTTTCACACATTTGTTTCTCAACATTTTTCAAGCCTTTTTAGCTCACCAATTTGTTGCATATTTTCACTTTTTTTGCGGTATGTCATTCTTGTGTGTTATCATTTCTTTGTTTTCTTCGTGCAAACTATAAACTTGTAAATTATAGACTAGTCAGATAAAAATCCTACTTATAAACTCAAGACAAGAAAGTGCCACATTTTATCTCTTGCAGTCCAGCAATTTTAAAGTAAAAAGCAAGTGACAAACTTCAAAAACAACACACAATATTGTATACCAATCCCAATGATGCGTTCTTCACAACAGAAGTTGTTTTAGCATTAAGTAGGAACATTCAGGAGTAGGCCATGCAGCCCTTCAAGCCTGTTCTGCCATTCAAATAGATCATGGCTGATCTTTACCTCAACTAATCGTGTCAATTCCAATTTCCCACCATATCCCTTGATACTCTGCCCTACCAAAAATCTATCAACCTCACTCTTGAAGGTATGGATGGATTCAGCATCCACAGCCTTTATAAAGTGGCTCTCTTTATAAACTCTTTGTAAAGAGAGTTCCAGATTGAGAGCAAAAATACTTCCTGATTTCACTTTTAAAACACCTGGTTCTAATTTCTAATGTGCCGCCTTGTTTTAGATTTCTCCACCAGAGGAAATATTGAATCCCTTTATAATCTTAAATACCTCAATAAAATCAGCCCTTAACCTTCTAACTCAAGGGAATACAATCCAAGTTAATACACCCTCACCTAATAACTTAACCCTTTAAAGCCTGGTAACATTCTGGTGAACCTGCGCGGCACCCCCTCCAGGGCCAATATATCTTTCCCGAGGTGTGGTGCCAAAAACTGAACATGGTCTCTAGACGGGGTCTGACTAACGCTCTATACAGCTGAAGCATAATTTCTTCCCCTTTGTATTCCAGGCCCTTGAGATGAAGGCCAACATTTCATTCGCTTTTTTGATTACTTTTTGCACCTGGGAACTAGTCTTTAGTGATTTGTGGATATGGACACCCACAGTTCTTAAGTTTCTCCCCATTAAGAAAATATTCTGCTTTTTTTTTGATCCACTGACCTACATTGAACTCCATCTGCCACAGCTTTGTCCACTTATTCTGTCTGGCTTCTTCCTACTCCCCAAATGTCTACACAACTTACTGAGCCTCCTACCTTAGTGTCGTCTGCAAACTTGGATATAAAATGTACAAATGCTTACTTTGGCTTGCAGAGTTTGGAAAGACAATTACCACTTTATAAATCAGAAACATTCCAGCTCAAAGCAACGTTTCCAAATGTGTCACAAATGCAGGGACGACTCATTTGTTCCCCAAACCAAAATAGTGTACTTGAAAAGGAAGCATGAAAAATGCACACACATCAAGCTGTGCCGGTAAGCAGAAGAGGCATGTAATGTTTTGCCTTTGTCTATGAATATTTTGTAGGTAACATTTTTACAGTGTTGGGTTTTCTATATGCAAAACAATTCAATTATCCAAAGTGTTTATAGTATACTTGTGCTAACTACTGTATATGCAACTCCCATTTATCACTGTACAATTAAACACCTTAAATTAATAAAGGTGACAACATTCTTCTTTAATTGTTTATTGATTCAGAAATACTTCAGCTCACTTTTGTGCATGATCATTCGTACTGTGTGTAACTGCTATACCAACTAGTGAAAAGGAAATTAAATCAGGGACTGCTCATTCTTAGGCCTTTGTTCCGATACCAATTCTGGTAATGGTTATGTGTTGAATGAGAGCCACTTTGAGGGAACTGGAATGCCTCAAACACTGTTGGCAACTTGTGACTTACTTTCTTTAACTCAATAACTCAGTGTTTCAGCATCCCCCAAGAAAGCTGTGAAGTACTTAAAAGTCATAAGTAAAATAAACTAGAAAGACAAAACATGTTATTACATCAGTCAACACACAGTCAATCGAAACCAGTTCTTTTAAACTGAGAAATATAGTTTCTACTGAACATAAATAATACAGCATTTCCATTATAAACAGTAAAATGAAACATCCTATGCACCTTTTTCAGGAGAAAGGGAAAGGAGCCCTTTGCAGATGCTCAGATGTGAAACTGCCACATAAAATGTCTCAAAGTATAGCTGTGTGTTTTTCTTTCTTCTTTAGGAAGATCATTCCTTAGACACTTTAGTGGAATATCACTGTTAGACCTTTAATCAGAAAGTTAATTTTCTTTTCTTTTAGTCAAGATCAATAGGGTTGGCATCTTCTGGTCCTTCTCCATCGATGTCCTCCTCATCTCCTGCACCCATCAAGCTGTTCAAAAGATTTCCTGCACCATGAAAGGAAAAAGTATTTTGCAGTCACCTTATGAATTTGACATATCAGGTTATTAAAACTACTCAAAGTGCTTCACAGGATTTACTGTAAAATGTAGTGACTATTTTGTTGGCAAACATGGCAGACAATTTGCGCACAGCAATATCCTTCAATTAAGCACGGATCCTCTTCCTCTGGCCTTCAACCCTCACCGACCCCTCTTCTCCTCTCTCCCTCCTCCACAATACCCTCTCCTCCACACTCGATACTCTTGCCCCCATCACTTCCCGCACTGTCTCCTACTCCCGCTCCTCCCCCTGGTACACCACCCACCTCCGCTCACTGAAAAGCCAGGTGCGGGCTGCTGAACGCACCTGTGTCAAATCTGGCCTAACGGTCCACTGACAAATCTGGCTGGACCTCCTCAAAATTTACCGCTCCACTCTAGCCTCGGCCAAGTCGTCCTTCTACTCCAGGATAATCCTGGAGGCGAAGAACAACCCCAGGCTACTGTTTTCCACCACAACCCGACTCCTCCGTCCCCCCCGCCACCCCGCGCAGGTCATCTCCTCCAACCTTCACTGAGAGGAGATGCTGGATTTCCTTGAATCCAAGATCAAGGGAATTCGCTCCGCGGTCACTTCCCCTCCAACATCCACCAACCCCCCACCCCCTCACTCCCACACTCCGACTGCTACCCATCCTCCCCGACTCGTACCCGTTTCCCCACCCTCTGTCACCAAACTCATCCTATCCCTAAAACCAACCACCTGCTCCCTTGACCCCATCCCCACTCCACTCCTTATCTCCCAGCTCCACTTTCTTGCCCCACATATCACCGACATCATCAACCTGTCCCTCTCCTCTGGCTCTGTCCCCATTCCCTTAAAAACTGCCATCATCACGCCCACCCTGAAAAAACCCTCCCTTGATGCGTCGCAGCTATCAAGCTACCGGCCCATCTCCAACCTCCCCTTTCTCTCCAAGGTCCTGGAAAGAGTTGTCGCCTCCCAACTGCGCTCTTTCCCTTCCACCCATTCACTTTTCGAACCCCTTCAGTCAGGTTTCCGTGCTGCCCATAGCACAGAAACTGCCCTGGTCAAGGTCACCAATGATATCCTGACCATCTGTGACCAGGGCTCCCTCTGCCTCCTCGTCCTCCTCGACCTATCGGCAGCATTCGATACGGTCGACCACGCTATCCTACTCCACCGCTTGTCCTCCCACCTCAACCTTCAAGGCACTGTCCTTGAATGGTTTAGGTCGTACCTTTCTCACCGTCTTCACTTTGTCTCGACGAATGGCTTCTCCTCCACCCCCCGTACTGTCTCATGTGGTGTCCCTCAGGGCTCTGTCCTCGGTCCCCTCCTCTTCACCCTCTATATGCTCCCCCTTGGTGACATCATCCGCAGACATGGAGTTAACTTCCACATGTATGCGGATGACACCCAACTCTACCTTTCCTCCTCTACTCTCAACTCCACGACCACCGATGTCCTGACAGCTGCCTGTCCGACATCGAGTCCTGGACGAGAGACAACTTTCTTCAGCTCAACGTGCGAAAAACCGAGGCCCTCCTGATTGGCTCACGTCAGCGCCTCCGCACCTCAGGCGCTGACACCATCAGCATCCAAGGCTGCACTCTCCACCTCTCAAAGCCAGTCAGGAACCTCGGCGTTTTGTTCGACCCTGAGCTGTCCTTTCTCCCTCACATCCGCACCACAACTGGCACCGCCTTCCATCACCTCCGGAACATCGCCAGACTACGGCAATACCTCACCCCTCACGCTGCTGAAACCCTGGTTCACGCCTTTGTCACCTCAAGGCTGGACTATGGGAACTCTCTCCTCGCCGGCCTTCCCGCCACCTCCCTCCACAAGCTGCAGGTCATTCAGAACTCTGCAGCTCGTGTACTGTCCCGCACCAGGCTTCGGGACCACATCACTCCCACCCTCGCTCGCCTCCACTGGCTCCCCATCCCCCAGAGGATTGATTTCAAGATCCTCATCCTCACCTACAAGGCCATTCACGGCCTTGCTCCCTCCTACCTCTCCAACCTACTATCACCCTACCTACCTGCCCGTACCCTCCGTTCCTCTGGCTCCGGTCTGCTCCACGTCCCCCGCCCCAACCGCCCTACCATCGGTGGTCGGGCCTTCAGCCTCTCAGCCCCGAGGCTCTGGAACTCTATCCCCCAGTGCCTTCGCCTTGCTTCCTCCCTCTCCTCCTTCAAGGCCGGTCTCAAAACCTTTCTCTTTGACCGAGCCTTCAGCTCCCCTCTCGACTCTCTTCCCCCTCCTCGCTCCCTCCCTTCCCTCACCCTGACCATTTCCCCCCTCCTCGCTCCCTCCCTTCACCCTGACCATTTCCCCCCTCTTCGCTCCCTCCCTTCCCTCCCCTCACCCTGACCATTTCCCCCCTCCTCGCTCCCTCCCTTCCCTCCCCTCACCCTGACCATTTCCCCCCTGCTCGGGTCCTGACCCAACTGTGCAGCGCCTTGGGACGTCCTCCTGACGTGAAAGGCGCTTTATAAATGGAATCTTGTTGTTGTTGTTGTTGTACGTTCAATGAATAACAACTAGTGAAGTGGGTCACTTATCTTGGAAGATCTTTAAATTGAAACTTACCTAACAATCCCCCATAAGAAGAGGTTTGTTGTGGTGCAACCCCAAAGAAGATCTGCCCTATTCGGTCGAGATACTACAATTAAAACAACAGTAGATTTGAGTAAATATGTGCACTGAAATATCATGCCCATCTGAATCAATGGTCCCGTAAAGAATTGCAGCCAAGCAGGTAAGTCACGATTTTAAACAGAAAACACTAAGTGGACACACTTCCTTGAATAATCAAAGACCCGTAATCAGGAAGAATCAGGATCACCATTCACAAGAGTATGAACTTAGTGAAACAGAACGTTCAAGAAACCTTAAATAAATTATGGCCAATGAATAAGAAGCGCAGACTTCATCAGAAATCCTCACACTCAATCAGCTACACTTTCGAAAAACAATAGACGGATAACTATTTTATCAGAAACAAAAAATACAAGCAGGACTGTTAAAAGGCTGTTCAGCATTTTAAGATATCACTTATTTTAATGGGTGTTCAAAGAAACTGAAATTGCACGTTTGTGTTTGCTGGGTTACAGATGACTTACATTGTAATCCTCATTCAAAATGAGCATCTCCTCCATACTCAAATGGATATTTACTTCCCACTGCAAGCCTGAAATGCGTGAACGGAAGAGAGGAAATGAGGGTTCGCTTGTCCTCTTTATTAGGCTTGGATCAAATTTCCCCCCCTTTAATATTACAACCCAATTCCGTTTCCCCATCAACTACTTCCAGTGATTGAAGCAACTTGTGAAGAGAGGCGAGTGGCTTTGGGTGTGACATTTTAGCCCCGCCATTTGAAAAACAGGGACGACAGGGTCAAGCATCGACCTCACTTGTTTCTCAGGGCTCCATAAACAAATGGACTGAAAGCTTTCCCTCCAGAAAACAGCGGCGTCGGGGAAAGAAGATAAAAATAATAACATGATTAAACAGGAGTAAAATACTATAAGCGCGTTAGATTATTAGTTTATATTTTACAACTGACAATACTCAAAACTTCACTTCTGAGGATTGGCTTTTAGTTTATTTTAAAAATAGTTCAGGGATCAAAACCATTCTCCTCATGAAGATGAACATGCTGTAAAAAATACTCAAATCCTATTTTTTGATGAAGTTACATTCCACACAGCGTCAGAGGAAGAAAATGTGAGTTTTTTTTTAAAAACAACCAACAATTTAACAGGTTCTGCTTAGATCAATCAAAACATTTAAATGTTTCATTCAAGGCATCAAGAGATTTTCAGAAATGCCTTTTTTAATATGAATCCTGCCAGCCATCTCAGGCTTTGTGAAATGTTCTGAATAGTCAGCAACTCTTTTTTCCGTTTCCAGTCAAACTCCTCACACTTTCTACAAATCAGACTTAAAGTTTATTTAACTTTTTTGGACCAGATAAAACGACTACGGTATGCAAAGTTAGGGACTCACCTCAATATACATTGGATCTCTCTTTAAAGATGGCTGATACTGTTCACATAACACTGTAAAAACTGTTAGCTTCCCCCTGTGACAAAAGTAAACATGCTTACAGCTCTGAGCACATTTTTTCTTTGAAGATTTAAAAGCAAAATGATCATGTAAGAAAAAAACACTTACCCGTCCACAGCAAGTAATAAGAACCAAATAAAATTTAACAATGGTTGAACAAAAGGAGGTCCCTTCTCTATTGAGGGATGCTTCTCTGTATAAGTTGTGAAGACCATTGATGCAGTGTTTTTATTTTTTAAGCAAAGAAATCTGGAAAAAAAATCAGAATTGTATTGAGGAAACAGTCTTTGGACTCACCTGGAACAATACTACCCACAGATGACAAACAACAACTTGCATTTATTTATATAGCACCCTTCACGTAATGTGATGCCTTGTAGGGCTTAAATGCAAGGCTGAATAAAGCAAGGCTGAAGAACAGAAATGAAAGGTACTTCCATTTCTCTTCAGTCCCAAAAAAATTTTAAACACAAAAACAATTAATTTCAAAGCTATGAAAAGAGAGCTCATATATACATTAGAAGCTTGAAATTCACAATTGTTCTGATTCTGCATCCAATTCAAAGAACCTAGTTCAACATTAAAGATTGGAGTAATAAATTGATGTAGTTCAGGGCTAAAAGATCACAGATTGGTGCATTCAGCCCGGCATGAATCTACAAATGGCTGTCAAACTGAAAACTGCAAGCACATAAATCAAGCATTTCTCAACATCATTTTTGAGGGATCACATTGGGGGTCTTCATACCTCAATACCATATCCAATCATAGGGCCAACATTATAAAGAGAACCAGTCATTCCTCATCAACAAGTAGCCAAAGTCTTAATTATGAAGAAGAACATTTGTTTCCTATTTAGAAAATACTTACTGTAAGACTGCCTGAGCCACAAACATGTCCACTTCATTCCGGTAGCCTTTAAACTCAGAGTATTCTACTAACATATTTGCACAACCCTCCCCATCTGCTGAATGCAAGAAGTGATATCGAGATTCACTATAGTTTTGTTCTATATAGAGAAACAAAAAATAAGAATTGTACGTAAGAAGACTGATAAGAAAAGTGAATGGAAGCATGTATGTTACTTGTCCCTACAGAGAACAAACTTCTGAATCTGGTCAAACCACTCACTAAATAAAAGCCTTTGTTATTTTTGCACGTGGACCAATGCTATTTGGTTATCAATGAAGCAATCTGCACTTAAACAAAATGTTACAAACAACAATTCAGTCACACCTGCTCATTTAAATTAGAGTAACTGTAAGTGAATTAAACAAGTTAAGCTGACAGTGATTTAAAAGGTGACCACTTCAGGGATTCGGTGGCGTGCTGAGTTAAGCACACAATCCTTTCGCTTCTGATGCCTGATTTTTAATGCAACCTAGACTGCGCAGGTAAAAGTTCCCCTTCTCTACTGACTTGTAAATTTGGTCCCCAATACAGGTAATTTAGAAAGCCTTACCTTTCCACAATGTGATAGCTAGTAGCTGATGCAGTTTGGGGTGGCCAAGTTTTGCTGAGCCTCCACTGGACCATTTCAATGCTCTGGATACAAATGCTGCTCTCTCAGGAGAGTTTGGATCCATTAGACTAAAGAGTTTTCCAAGACTTTCTGAAGAAACACAAATTTCAACATATTTAGGGAACTAGCCTTCTGAAATTTATTCAGAGAACAGAAGACAATTGATTTTTTTTCAAATATCAGAAAATGTTCAATTTCCGGAAATGCCTGATATTCTCTGAAGAACGCAACACATTAAATAATTGAGGAACAGTGAACTAATCAAGCTAGAGAATGTTGCAACCAGTCAGTTACACAATTTCCAAGCGCCAGCTTCAATTGCTTTTTTAAATTCAAGGAATCTTCACTCCAACAATCGTTTACAGATTTGTAGAGATTTAAATCACACAAAACATTCAACCTTTTAAACTTTTTAGTAGTGCAACATTCTTCAAAATAAAAATTAAAAAAAGCAGAATCATAAATGAACATAGAAAATGTACAGGAAAGGAAAAGCTCATTGCAATCCGTCTGAATGGCCCCACAGTATAACAGTATGTACTTCTCGATTTCTCATAACCCTTAAATTAATTTCTTTGCCAACTACCTATCCAATTCCCTCTTGATAATTCTAAAAATAGTGTGCAGCATGTTCCAACTTATTTCATCCAAAAAGTTTGCTGTAGAGAAATTAGTAGGTACCTAAATCTTTTGTACCCAAACTACCAGCAGCACAGAATGTATTTTTAAACACAGAAACGGAGTAGGCCGTTCAGACCCTCAAGCCTGTTCTGCCATTCTATGGAGGGATGAATACCCTGGTGGGATGCACCCTGCTTAATGAATTCTGGAAAACATTAGGTACAGGTTGCCAAGAGCCAGTGTTTGAGCAGCAGAGGCTACTGATGAATTTGAGCCAAATAGCTTTCCATTTCAGAGAATTGCGTGGCAAGCTTACCACTGTATGTCTAGCTAAGATCATCCTATGTATTAAAGCTTTAGCTTGCAGGGTTAACAGGAGCGATGTGGTAAGAATCATTCATCCCTTCCGAGTCCTACTGTTGAACCAGGCTGAACAGCCTGTCACCAACAGTAGCCAGGAGTACTGTGTGCCTGCTGGTTCAGGAATAAGACTACCAAGAGACTGCCACAGAGGGTTGGTTTGATTTCTACATTCCATTGCTAGGCATGTCACTTTGGAACCAGCTAAAACAACATGGACTGGGAATTGTACTCAAGACCTTGCTGAAGCTTGTGGCTCATGTCCACACTTGATAGTGGATTTACCAATCCATCAGACGAGTGAACACAAGAAGTTTGCAGATTCTAAAGAGTCATCAGTATTCCCAAAGCTAGTTGCAGGAAGAGAAAAACATCTGAGTGGGTTTCTATTACTGTTCAGGAACAAACATCAATATATTTTTATGCACAATTTCTTAGGAAAAAATTAAGCATTGATATATACATACCTAAGAGTTCATCTGTAACCTTTACTTCAGACTTTTCCAAGGATTCTAAAACTAGCATGGATAAATCAGCAGCACTGTTTTGCTACAGCAGAAAATACAAAAAGAAATTATGTCAATGGAGAAGGCAACAGTCTTCAGAAAGCATTGCATAATCTACAGGGAGAATATCAGAAGCTATGGAAAAAGCTAAAGAGTAGGACCTGAAAGGTGGTGATCTCTGGATGACCCCCAGTGCTTCGTACAAGTATCAAAACAGCAGGATCAAACACATGAATGAATGGCTGGAGAAATGGTGCAGAAAGGAGGGCTTCAGGTTCCTGGAACATTTGGACCAGTTCTGGGGCAGGTGGGACCTGTACAAGGTGGATGGGTTACTCCTGAACAGGGCTGGGACCAATGTCCTCGCAGGGAGGTTAACTAGTGCTGTGGGAATTTTGAGGGGGGAAGGGAAACAGGATGTAACATCAGAGAGGAGAAACAAGTTACGTAGAGGACTGGGAGAGACAAGTAGCAATTCAATAAGCAGTAGTAATGCAATAAGCAGAAAAGGAAAGGATTAGACGGGGGAGAAATGCAGAGCAGATTCAGTCGGTCTTGGAGTTCATGTGGGTAAATGGACGGAGTGTGACAAATAGGATTAGTGAGCTGCAGGCTCAAGTTGCTACATGGGGTTATGATGTAGTAGCAATAATGGAGACCTGGCTCAAACAAGGGCAGGAATGAGAGCAGAATATTCCTGGTTATTATGCATTCAGGAGGGATAGGGAAGGAAAAGGAGGGGAGTGGCAATATTGATTAAAGACATGGTTAGCTCTGGAAAGGGATGATGAGCTAGAGGGTCCAAAAACAGAATCTATTTGGATAGAGTTAAGGAGCAGAAAAGTAGCTGTTACTTTGTTAGGTGTAAACTATAGACCACCAAATAGTGGGAAGGAGATAGACGAGCAAATTTGCAAACAGATTTCAGAAAGCGCTAAACCAATACAGTAGTGATAATGGGGGACTTCAATTATCCTAACACAGACTGGCAAAATAAGTGTAAAGGGCAAGGAGGGGGAAGGATTCCTGAAATGTGTGCAGGATAACTTTCTAGATCAGTATGTTTCCAGTCCAATGAGGAAGGAGGCAGCTCTGGATCTAGTTCTGGGGAATGAAGTGGGGTAAGTGGAGCAGGTTTCAATAGGAGAGCATCTGGACAACAATGATCACAACATCATTAGGTTTAGAGTACTTATGGAAAGGGACAAGGAATAATCAAAGGTAAAGATACTCAACTGGAAGAGCGCTATAATTTCAGTGAGTTAAAAATGGACCTAGCCAAGGTGGACTGGAAAGAAAGACTGGCAGGTAAAATAGCTAACGAGCACTGGGAAGTCTTCCAGGAGGAGATAGTTCAGGGACAGAACAAATACAAGGGGGAAAAGTAGGGCATCCAAACCTCCCTATATGATTATGGAAATTGGGATTAAAATAAACAGAAAAAGGAGGCTTATGATAAGTGTCAGGTCCAAATACAGAAGATAATCAAATAGAATATAGAAAGTACAGAGGAGAAGTGAAAAAGGAAATAAGAGGGGCGAAGAGATTGTATGAGAAAAGAATAGCGGGTAACATAAAAGGGAACCCTAAGGTACTTTATAAGCATATAATGAATAAACGGTTGGTTAAAAGTACGGTCGGTCCAATTAGGGACCAAAGAAGAAATCTTCTTGTGAAGGCGGAGGGCATGGCTGACACACTGAATGAGTAGTTTGCATCTGTCTTCACAAAAGAAGGGGATGCAGCCAATACCACAGTATTGGAGGAGAGTGTAGAAAAATTGGATAAGATAAGAATAAACCGAGAGGAGGTACTAAAAAGGTTGACTGTGCTCAAGGTAGATAACTCATCGAGGGGATGGGTTGCATCCTAGGTTACTGAGGGAAGTAAGGGTGGAAATAGCAGAGGCTCTGGCCACAAAAAGAAGTACTGCCCTGTACAAAAAGGGGCAGAGGATAAACCTGGGAACCACGGGCCAGTCAGCCTAATGCAAGTAGTGGGGCAACTTCTAGAGACTATAATCAGGGACAAAATAAATTTTCACTTAGAAAAATATAGGTTAATAAAGGACAGCCAACATGGGTTTGTTAAAGACAAATCGTGTCAAACAAACCTGATAAGAGTTTTTTGATGAAGTAACGGAGAGGGTGGATGAAGGTAGTGCAGTTGATGTAGTTTGTATGATTTTCAAAAGGGTTTGATATTAAACAAGGAAAAGTAGTAAACAGTGAGGAGGATAGTAGACAACTGCAAAAGGTCATAGATAGACTGGTAAAATGGGCAGACACTCGGCAGATGAAGTTTAATGTGGAGAAAGGCGAAGTGGGACATTTTGGGAGGAAGAATGAGGAGATACAATATAAGCTGATGGTACAATCTTAAAGGGGGTGAAGGAACAGAGAGATATGGGGTTCATAGACGTAACTCATTGAAAGTGGCAGGACAGGTAGATAAGGCTGTTAAAAAGTATACAGGATACTAGGCTTTATAAACAGGGGCATAGAATATAAAAGTCAGGAAGTTATGATGAACCATTATAAAACACTGGTTAGGCCTCAGCCAGAGACTGTGTTCAGTTCTGGGCCCCACACTTTAGGAAGGATGTCAAGGCATTGGAGAGGGTGCAAAGGAGATTTACCAGGATGGTACCAGGAATGAGGAGCTTCAGTTATCAGGAGAGGCGAGAGAAGCCGGGATTATTCTCTTTGGAGCAGAGAAGGTTAATAGAAGTTTTAAAATTATGCTTGGAGAAGAAATCTTTTCACATAGTAAGTTGTTTGGATCTGGAATGCATTGCCTGAAAGGGTGGTGGAAGCCGATTCGGTAACAACTTTTAAGAGAGAAGTAGATAATTATTTGGGGAGGGCAAGTTTGCAGGGCTATGGTGAGAGAGCGGGGGAGTGGGATTGATTTGGATAGCTCTTTTCATGATCCGGCACAGACACGATGGGCCGAATGGCCTCCTTCGTTGCTGTATAATTCTATGATTTAACGCTGAGTATTGACATACAGAGAAGCAGCAACCACCACTATTGGCTGTTGCTATGAAATTTGTTTTTTGCCTGCATATTAAACCCATCCAATATTGTTCAGAGCCTTATGGTTATTGATAAAGATAATACACAATTTCAATTTTTTAGCTGCAGGTGCTAAAATATTGGGCCTTAGGTTGATCAAGAGACTATGTACATGCAATAATCAAAATAACACACACTCAATAATTGTTAGTGCAATACTTAAGCAGTTAATATTCGGACATTATGAAATTCTTGAAAACAATCATTACCTGGCTGTGACTGAAGAAGAGCAACGCTCCAGAATACATAAGCTCCCTAGCTTCAGCATGTTTACCCTGTGACATATACCTGTAAAAAGGCAAAATTATCTTTAAAAGAAACCAGCAAGGATTTGCTTGCTACACGTTTAAGTGCTGCAAAAGAGAGCATCAAAGAGACTTTAAAGCTGCATCTGCACTCTCCAAGGGTAATATAATCACTATTGATATTTATATTTTCCATTCAAAGCTACAACATGTTTTCATTTAAAAATTAAATCTGTTTTTATTATTTACCATAGTGAAGAAGAGTTTGGGAGATTGTTTTTGAAAAGTAGGGAAGAGAACTAATTACCACTGAATTCAGCAATAGGTGTTAGACCAGCTACACACAAGAAAATATGACTCAATATTATCAGGTCCTTCAGAAAATCTAGCCTTTGCTGCTAGACATTTAAACGGGAGAAGCAACTCAATTCTTTATATGACAATACTTGATTAACTCTTGCATTTGAAATAGCACTCACCCCATCAACAAAACATCTTTGTTTCACAGGATTTTACTGTAAAGTCTGGGGCAATAATAATAGGTGGACGCAGCAGCCAATTTACATACAGAAATGTGGTATAAACTGTCATCAAGTGAACAATCATTTTTTTTATCTGTACGTTTGTTGGCCACTAGGAGAAACTCCTTTATCTTTTCAAATAGTATCATGAGATTTTTTAACTTCCACCTGAACAGACAACCATCTCAGCCTTTCATCCGAATGATGAAGGATGAATAAAATGGGGAGAGATGGGAGGAGAAGAGGAAATAGTCACCAAGCTTTTGAATTAGAAGCAAACATCTTTAATCATGATCACTTGTAACAATGGGGTTGATTTAGTAATATATTTGATATTCAACACAATGAATATAACAGGATGTGAAAGGAGGATCACAATACTGTTCTCAGCAGCAATGTCTTGGAACCAGGATCACTGCATTACATTTGTGGATTGTAACTATCAACTTCTGGTTATTGGCTTTTTACTCAGAAAATCTATAAAAATTCCAATGTACTATTTCCTCTTCCTTTAACAAACAATCATCAAGAAAACTGCACATTCAGGTACATGTGGTGTGCCAAATATCAAACATACTGGGTACAGTAGATCTGTCATTGCTGGGAAGTAAAGTACTGAGACCCGGCATCAAAATCTAAAGCATGTGCAGCAATGTTCCTTTACTTAAATCAAGACCTCACGCTTTCTGTCCATTCTGGCAATGGACCATACCCCATATGTTTTTGATACCCCATCTACAACAACAACAACAACAAGATTCCATTTATAAAGCACCTTTCACGTCAGGAGGACGTCCCAAGGCGCTGCACAGTTGGGTCAGGACCCGAGCAGGGGGGAAATGGTCAGGGTGAGGGGAGTGAAGGGAGGGAGCGAGGAGGGGGAAATGGTCAGAGTGAGGGGAGGGAAGGGAGGGAGCGAGGAGGGGGGAAATGGTCAGGGTGAGGGGAGGGAAAGGAGGGAGCGAGGAGGGGGAAGAGAGTCGAGAGGGGAGCTGAAGGCTCGGTCAAAGAGAAAGGTTTTGAGACCGGCCTTGAAGGAGGAGAGGGAGGAAGCGGCAAAGGCACTGGGGGATGGAGTTCCAGAGCCTCGGGGCTGAGAGGCTGAAGGCCCGACCACCGATGGTAGGGCGGTTGGGGCGGGGGACGTGGAGCAGACCGGAGCCGGAGGAACGGAGGGTACAGGCGGGTAGGTAGGGGGATAGTAGGTTGGAGAGGTAGGAGGGAGCAAGGCCATGGATGGCCTTATAGGTGAGGATGAGGATCTTGAAATCAATCCTCTGGGGGATGGGGAGCCAGTGGAGGCGAGCGAGGGTGGGTGTGGTGTGGTCCCGAAGCCTGGTGCGGGACAGTACAGTACTAATTTGTATAGTGCCTTTCCCGACGTGAAAGGCACTATACAAATGTAATCTTGTTGTTGTAATTTGATATCACCCACGGGCATAGTGGAGGCGGTTTAGGTAAAAATACAGCAATAATGATGCAATTATTAACAGCAAAACTAACACAAACAGGAAATCCAATTGGTTAAACAAGACACAGACAATGAATAAACTGATGGAGAAGTCAGTGCAACACACCAAGAAACACAGGCAATTGTCTGGGAACAGGTAACTTGTGTACCCTCTTAGCCAGTTAAAGGTGTGGGGATACACAAACGCACACACACATATATGGTGAAAAGTGCAGTCATCACTTCAGTACTTTACAAACATCAATGGCAATGGTGGTCTGTAACCCAGACATCCATTATTCTCTGTAAAACTACAGAGTACCATACAATGGAGCTCTGTTTTGAAAGTATGGCCTCCAGATTCCCTTTTGCATTGTACAACAAAAGGATTGCATTTGGCAATATCCACCCTGTTCAGCTTTTTCAGGGCTGAATAACAATTACAGGCATTGAGACCTCACTGTGTTCAATAGGCTTATATTTAAAAATTACAGTTTCCAACTTATGTACAGCAATGTCCCACAGAGATGAAGTGAATGATCAATGTTATCCAGGGATTGGTAGCCATGACATCGAGAGAAACTCCTTTCTCGTTTTGAATAGTATCATGGGATATTTAACATCCACCTGAACAAACAGATGTAACCTTGGTTTAAGTTCTTAACCGAGGTTGGCACCATTGAAAATGAAGCACTCCCCCAGCACTGTACTATCCACGGTTTATCCTGACCAAAACTTAGTTTTATATTTTGCGATTTACATAACTTGTGAGACACTGCATGTACAGATTAGAGGTGCGTTTGCCTGATAAAGTGACTACACTTCAAAGTAACTTTCTACTTTGAGGTGTGAAAAGGCGTTCTATCCAATGCAAGTATTGTTAATTCAGTGAAAGTCACACAACATCTAATTAGCATTAGCTTGAGTTTATTGTGAGTTTGAGGAACAACTTTAAAGGAAAAAAAGTAAAATTTTACCAAATACTTCTATTACTTTCAAAATCTCTACTGTAATTATCTACAGCAAAAGATAAAAATGTTACACATCTGAAAATATCAGTCACATCCCCTACCACATGAACAACTCCTGAAGCCTTGTCACTATGGCAACAACCATGAGTATTATTTGCACAGAACTTATGTTTTAAAATTGTAAAATGATTCTATTGTCGGTATCCTATTGCCACATTCAACAAACAGTTGGAAATTACTGGTTTTATTTCATACCCGAGAAAGATCATCAAATTCTGGCATATCGACTCCATCCAAGAATTATTTTTCAGGTCTGAAATAATTTATCCAATAATTTATCAGCGTTGGCACAGTGTCTCTTATGTATTTCAATAATCTGCACCATCCAGTGGTTATGTTCACTTCAGTTTTACACTGGACAAAATTGAACCAGAATGTGCAGGAGGGTCATTAGTGATGTGTATCATTAGGGGAATAATGTATATCAAGTGTATAATAATGTATTTTATTAAATAAATTGTATCATTTAATTTAAATTAGGGAATTTAAAGGGTAGTAGATACAGAGAAACTATTTCCTCTGGTGGGGGAATCCAGAACAAGGGGGCCTAATCTTAAAATTAGAGCTAGAAGTGAAATCAGGAGGCAGTTTTTCTCCCAAAGGATAGTAGAAATCTGGAACTCTCTCCCCCAAAAGGCTGTGGATGCTGGATCCATTCAAATTTTCAAGACTGAGGTGGATAGGTATTTGTTAGCTAAGGGTATCAAGGACGGATAATTGGAGTTTAGGTACAGATCAGCCAAAGTCTTACAGAATGGCAGAACAGGCTTGAGGGGCTGAATGGCCTTCATTCCATTGTTGTTTCTATGTACCTATACCAGAGGTTCTCAAATGTGCACCAAGGCTGTGTGAATCGAAAACAAGCAAATTGGGAGTTTAGGAGAATTGTTTTCACTCACAGAGTATTTAGCATATTTATGATATGGAATGCCCTGCCTGTTTGATGCCAATGCCACAAGAGCATTCAAAAGGGATCAAGATGAATACCTACAAAGGAGTAAACTACATAGATAAATTATGGAGAAAGGGCAGGTAAATGGGACTGAAAGGATTGCTCTTAAAAAAAAGCTTGCACAGACACAATGGATTGTAAATTTCTATGCTTCTATGGCATGGATGGGGTTACGGGTGGAGGTATCTTGTGCAGGTGAGAATTTAATGCCTGGATGGATATCATTTAAATGCTCTACCAGATTCGCATCTCGGGGGTCATGATATAATGAGACTATACATTTCCCATAAAATCTTCAAATTGTTTTGTTGTACAGTATGATGCCCACCTGAGCTGTGGAAAATAATTAGCATCACAGTTTGAGTATCACAATATTGAGTGATGTTCTCCTGGGAGCAGTGGAACAATTTAAGTAACAAACATTGAAGTGTTTGGGCTTAAAATCTTTCTTAGAGTACACACGAATGTGCAGGACTGGAAAGGACAATTGTGGCCAGCTCAATATTTGACCTAAGTGCTGAATAAGCCTTGCAATCGCACAATGCAGCCGTTCACATTGTGGTCAACACATTTTAGGCCTTCTTGACCTATAAACAGTAGCATGGAGTCTTTTCTTCCAGTTTAGGAGACTACTACAGACTTTTTCACTTGTCTTTTTTTCTCTCTGCTGCCCCTCAATACTCGTAATTAATAATATAATAATCCTTGGCGTATTATATTGAGATGTCTCAAAGCGCTTCACAGAATATACCGTCTGTAAAGTGTAGTGACTGTGTCATTTGTGGGTGAAACCTGGTAGCCAATTGCCAAGACCTTGAGCCTAAGAAGCTATCAGCAGCAGGGAGACATTTAAAGCCACGGGTTTACCAGAGGATGGTCAGCTGCCTATTCCGTCCCCGACGGAAGCACACGTCCATCTCTCCTTGTAAAATCTGTGACTTTAAACCTTATTGCAAGGGTGACTGAAGGTTGAAGCTATCTGCGGGGGTGGTGAAGGGAGGAACACAGACAGACATGGTTGCCAGAAATAAAATGACGTTTGGAGCCCCAAAATCAACCGAATCCCAGCCCAAACGCAGCCCAATGTTGTGCGCTGCCTCCTTACGGGTTAGCAGAGTGGCCGATTTAAGTTAGCGCTTTGGAAACTGTAAGAAAACAATAATAATCCTTGCATTCGATACAGCGCCTGGTCACGTCTTCTAAGACGCCTAAAGCGCTTCCTTCCTTCGCGGGATTATACCGTGAAGTGAATTGACCGTATATTTTGCCGGAGAAACGATTTACGTTCATTTTTTTTAAAAAAAAGGTCTGCGGGCGGGCGGCGGGCGGTGGGGGTAAAAAAAAAGATTTTGTTGGGTTTAAATTCAAAACGTTTCTTTTCTTGTTAAAAAAAAATTAGCCACAGTACCACAAACAACAAAAAAAAACACGACCCAAATTTGGTCGTGAACCGGGCCCAATCCGGCCATAGTGACCACACACTCACACTCACCACACACACACACACACACGGGCGGACATGACAGCGCGACCGCCCGCCCCCTGACTGACAGGCGGGTCGGCCAACCGCGCCGCGCCACCTCACAATGGACAGCCGCGACGCAGCGAATGAGCGCGGAGAGAAGCCGGGAAGGGGCGGGCGGACCCGGACTAGCAGGTTAGGCTGTGATGCCGCGTAACCCCTCCGTCCCCTCAGCAGTGAGGTTAGGCTGCGGCGCTGTGCCGTGGGGGGGGGGGGGGGGGAGAGAGCGCGCGCCAAGAAGGATCTGGAAAGCGGCGGCCGAGCCCGGGCCTCGAGGCCGCGGCCGCTTCATCCTCCGCCGGCAGCTCGCTCCCTTACCGGAAGAACAGGGTTCGGTACATCTGATGAGCCTCGTAGTAGTCGCCCTTCTCCACGCTGGCCCGGAGTTTGGTCTCCACCCGCTGCACTCCTCCCCGGTTCCTGCAACACTTGGGCAGCTCCGCGTCCGCCATTGCTGCTCGCAGCCAAGGTCAGAGGGCACAGCTCCGGCCTGACGTCACTGTACGGCGTCCCCGCACGCCTGTGCTCGCCCCGCCCACTTTCACCTCGCGCCAAAGTCGCTTCTCGACAGCGTCAGCGGATCATCTGCAGATGTCAAAATGGTTTTGGGGTTCAGGTGAAGAGCAAATCAGACAGTCTGGTTTGTCCGGGAAACTTTACCCCACCCCGGGGGGTAGGAGCCTTCTCTTCACGTCAGTGAACGGTCAGCCAGGTGGGCATCCGACACGTGCGGAAACCCATCGCCGTACTTAGAGGAGTATAACAACAATATTATAATAATAATAATCCTCGCATCTGATACAGTGCCCTTATCGCATCTTCTGGATGTCTCAAACGGAGTTCCAGGCATCCCATCCACACACGGAAATCCCAGAGATAAGATTATTGGTCCCTTCCTTGCCGGTTCTATTCCTCCCTCCCCGGTCCGGCACGCACACAGGCAGTGAGTTTTGCTTGGTCTTGTGGAGTCCTGTAGCTCAGGGGTTAGAGCACTCGCTTTGCAAGTGAGAGACCTGAGTTCAATTCCAGGCAGAGGGCGAAACCTTGGGCAAGTTTCCTTACTCCACACAGAGCCTAATAATAATCCCTCCAAAACCAAAAACAACAATAAATTGGTCATTTTCAATCCACGACTGTTTGTGGGACATTGCTGTGTGCAATTGGCTGCTGCGTTTGCCCACAAATATACAGTCAATTCACTTTACAGTGTGTTCTGTGAAGCGCTTTGGGACGTCCTCCCAACGTGAAAAGCGCTATATCAAATGCAAGGATTATTATTATTTATTATAGGTTTGTGTGGCACTGACTGCCCTCCAGCACCTGGGATCCTGAAAAGCAAGTGCAATAGGGTAATTCATTCCATTGTTGTTAATAATAATACTTGCATTTGGGATAGTGTCCCTTTCACTTCAGAAGGATGTCCCAAAACGCATCACAGGAGTTACTGTCAAAGCGTAATATCTGTAGTTGTAGGCAAATGAGCCAGGACACCGGGAAAAACTCACTTCCCTTTTCAAGTAGCTCCTAACATCCAGCTAAACAGGCAGAAAAGACCTCTTTAACATCTCATGGAACAATGACAATATAACACACCCCCTAGCGATGCATTGAAGTGTCAACCCACAACCGCCAGAGAAGCATCACATCCAAATCCAATCCTTCTCTCGCCCAATGCCCACCCATCATTTTTCCTCCCAGTGCCAAGGGTAGCACCCAAACAGAACAATTTGGAGGTTTCAGGGATAGATATATTCTTGAGATCACAGCAATAGTTTCACCCAGTGCACAGCCCCCAGTGACAAGGTTGAATTCAACTTGCACACATGAACATTCCTCATGCATGTTTTTGGAAATATTATGGTGCAGGTTGCCAGATTACCTTTATGGAATGTATGAATATTTGTGAAGAACTTTCATTCAGATTAAGAGGGTGATCTGGAGTCCATAATAGGTAGATAATACATTGCAGCTATAGAAGGAGAACTATTTGCTTATTCTATAATAATGCCTGATAATCCCTCAGAAAAAAATTAGTCATTTCAATCCTCTTTGTGAGACGCTGCTGTGTGCAATTGGCTGCCGCATTTCACCCACAGATAATAATAATCCTTGCATTTGATATAGCGCTTTTCATGTCAGGAGGACGTTCCAAAGCGCTTTACAGAACACACTGTAAAGTGAATTGACTGTATATTTGTGGGTGAACGCGGTAGCCAATTGCGCACAGCAATGTCCCACAAACAGTCGTAGATTGAAAATGACCAATTTATTATTGTTTAATAGTCATTTACAGTCATTTCACTTTAGTCTATTCTGTGAAGTGCTTTGAGACATCTAGAAGACGTGAAAAGTCTATATCAAATGCAAGGATTTATTATTATACTTTGCTGTTTACAAATCATTCCAGACCAAAGATCCTGAGATTATCTATACTCAACAAATGCAATTTTACCACAAAATATAGGCTCTGAATGCTAATTTGCAGAGCAAAATGTGTGCTTATGAGAATCAGATTTACAAGATACAACAAGATCACATTTGTATGGTGCCTTTCACATCGGAAGGACTTCCCAGCACAACTTGCAACACAATTCTGTTTTGAATAGCAAACATTACATCAAAAGGTAGTTTTATCTTTTAGCAAATAACCCTGACCAACTTCTTCAGAATTGTTTTCTTGTCCAATTTACACAAATGTGCTTTCTGCAATTTTTAAAGTCAGTAAATTTTAAATGTTTTTAAAAGTGTGTTGTAGAAAATGCCTCAAGTACAAAATATACGTACTTTTGAGAAACTACTTATTCCCGTTTTAGAATGATTTTCATACATCATACACATATGGGGAAATGAACCATCCCCTGGCCTGGCTTCACTCTTCCATAACTGACTGACAACAGGTGTGCAGCAGAAATTCACTTCCGATCTCTCTGGCTTATAGCAGAGGAACGTTTTTATGAATCCAGATACTTATCCTACTACTGAACATGTAAACTATTTCCTCATGGCGCCTCATGGGAACATTTGGGATTAGTGGATTGCACAATTCTATCATAAGTGGGACCCCTTGCTCTGGTTCCAGTTATGTAGATGAACTGTTGAGGGCAGTGAAATGGTTATGGTAGGCATGTCAGTCTCCAAATCTAATAGTTCACTGTGCTCCCTGTATTACTAACATGCAATTCTATCATTAACAAATATGAAAAGCGGGTTCATTTTCTATTATCTTGCCCTTTTCTAACTTGATTTATGGTCTTCAGAATCTACCAAGTATAAATTTGACCCAAGCCTCACAGACGCCTTGTTTCAGCAGATGAGTGTGGACCATGCAAATGTCCCAAGACCGGAAAAGACCGTGACATTCTTTGTGCTGCTCCTGTGGAGCTGGTAGTTTTTTTAAAGAACAAACACAACTTAGCATCAAGGCAAAACTTGACACCAGCTATTGTAAAGAAAGCTGCTGTTACTCAGTTTAGCAATCCACAAGAACAGTATACCGCAGAGAGCTAGGACTGAAGGGCATCATTCCTGCACAAGCAGCTTCAAAGGAAAATACTTTTGTAGCCGACTCATTATATTTGCTGTGAAAATTTGATTTTCATTTCCACAAATAAACAAATGTGCACTAGTTATATTTTATTGCACACACTCCACTGGTTAATAGATGAAACTGAATATGCTGATTCTATAAACAATTACTACATCCCCATTGAATCAATCTATGATAAATGAAACAAAACAAAGAATGTATTCCATGATTTGCATCATCGTTGATGTGCTCAAGATTGTGCACACATTTGGTCTAATGTGATCATGGTTAGCTTTCTAACCAGATTGTCCAAGGTTAGGATTAATAGAGTACTGACCAAAAGGTCATTTCCCAGTCTGAGTGAGCTGATCAGTTGCTTTAGTATGGGGCCATAATACTACTTGAATTTAACACCGCTGAATACTCATTTCCAATTCAGTAATTGGAAATCCTCTCTCCAGCTAGAGAGTGCGTACACGTGCTCAAAGATCAGAAAAAATCGGGCTCAACTTTGATACTCTCCATTCAAAATTGTAATTTTATGCTAAAAGACCAAGTGGAATAAAATCAGACCTATAAACATTTAAAGGGTTCCTTTGTTCATAACTGTAAAGTTGCATATTACAATGGATAAATGCAATAGTACTAACACTACTGTCAGAATTAACAATAAGCAATATAACAAACTGCAGACAAACCTTGCACAACAATGTATCACAGCTGGAAATAGTCAAGTTCTATTGATGTTCAGAAAGCAGTTCACAGAACAATAAATGATATCCTCAGATAGGATCTGCTTAATAAAGCATTGTTGTGGTCTTCATTTACCAGCTTCTAAAAAACAACATTGAATTCTAATGAAAATAAATCCAATCTTTAATGCAGATCTTAGCATTAAATTATTCAATATGTTGCAGTTGGTTTAAAAACTGATAAACTTAGTTACATCAATTCAAACAGTGGTTACAGTGTAGTTAGTATCTGGAGTGGATGTTTTGATTTTCTCTGGACCTTGCAGTAGAGAACAAGTAACCAATCGCTATAATAATCCTTGCATTTGATATAGCGCGTCATCATGTCTTCAAGATATCTCAAAGTGCTTCACAGAATATACTTCAAAGTGAATGGATTGCATATTCGTGGGTGAAATGCAGCAGCCAATTGGACACAGCAATGCACCACAAAGTCGTGGATTGAGTGACCAAACTATTATTTAAAATTTATTTTTTTGAAGGGATTATTACCCCTGGAAAAGCAATCTGCCAATCAACTTAACAACCGGGTTCCTACTTACTGCAAGGTAAACAGAGGCGTGTGGAGTAAGGAAACTTGCCCTACCCAGGAATCGAACCCTGATCCTCTCGCTTGCAAGACAATTGCTTGAACCAATATGCCACAGGACTCCTGGCTATGGCCAGCAGATAAGATTATGTGACTTGTGCTTTAAAGTGTCACAATTTCAGGATGTGTTGATCACATTTCACACTCACTGACTCAAGTTGAATCAGGTTGCAAAAATGTCTTCTGAATCTCATTGTTTCCTAATGATTTGTACAACTCACACAATGCTCTATTTCCATTTAACCCTATTGACTACAAATCACCTTTTCATTATACTTGGCTGACTGCACAAACCCTAATGTTCTTTTATCCAAAAGTATAAAGTTATTTTGTGAAACTTGGAAACAGATGGAAGTTATATATACATCAGTGTTTCAGTACTATTTCTTGGTCTTTGCTTTTTATTCTTCAAAACTAAATTTCCTCGTTTGTATGCGTTAAAGCATCAAAAGGTGATGTTACAAGTTTATCATGAATTGGACCCTATTCAGAATGTGGAAACATCCATTAACTGCAACTATTATAATTTAGTGTAGCCTAAGTACAAATCTTACACAAAAGCTTACCCTTTATTACACTTGGAATTACATGCAGTCTAGCAAAAAAATTAAATCTTTATTTAAACATCTGAATAGCATTGTCAGTTTTATGACAGTCAAGGAAATAAAAACACTGTTCGACAAAGTGAAAAATTTACAAAAATACATTGCACAAAGTCCTACGTTTCTCTTGAAAAATAAATAGTTATTCACAAAGATCCACCCCCAAATTCTCTAATTTTGCTTTACAAGAGCCTTGGTTTACTTGTCATAGGTTTTCAAATATACCTGGACATGTCCTATACAGGTCCCTGGTTTTTGCTTTATATAGTTAAATATATGGATTATACTACTTGATATAACTATATTTTTTGAAGAATTCTTTACAAATGAGGACTGTTGTGCAATATACATTCAAATAAACATTATCCAGTAAAGATGGTCATTTCCCTTCAACTCTTTCAACGACAGTCAATATTCCCCTTGTGTGTAAAACACACTAGACATTTCCCAAATAAAAACGACAACATTCTCTCTGAGGCTGTAAAGCCATTAACTATTCGGCTGGCAATGGTCTTATATTGGTCAACTACATCCGATGTTACGTCCAGGATGTGTGATCCAGCATGTTATTTGTGCCTCAGTCCCCAAGAACAAATTCCAGTGTTCATTAAATTATTCCCAGTTTTTCCAGTATTTACACAGTTTTACATGCTCAGTGAAGTCCACTTTTACTCCTTCACCGGGTCTCCGTGCACTCTGAACCGATAGAGGCAGGTGTACTCGGGGTGACCCCAGTTTGAAAGTACTCGAAGTTCAATTATTTGGAAGCTCCCCAGGATCTCCTCCTAATGTGGAAAAAAAATAGCAGTTACTCCAGTTCTCAAGCGCCAACGAGACAATGAGACAGTCTCAAAACATTTGATATGTAGAGTCCTGTAGCTCAGTGGTTAGAGCACTCGCCTCGCAAGCGAGAGCACTGGGTTCAATTCGCGGCAGGGCGAAGTGTTGGGCAAGTTTCCTTACTCCACATGTCTCTGTTTACCTAGCAGTAAATAGAAACCCAGTTGTTAAGTCGAGTGTCAGATCGCTTTTTCAGAGGTAATAATTCTTTCAAAGAAAAAATGTCAGGAAGACATCAAAGTGCTTCACAAAATTTACTGTAAAGTGCCACAATTGTGTAATTGTAAGCGAATGACCAATGCTAACATTTTAATGACGGGCTTTGACACTATGAGAGAGCCTTACTGAAAGATAATTTCCCAGATATATCAAAATCTTCAAGACGCTTTTCAATTATTCATAGTATTGCTCCACAAACTGCAATCAACTTTGGAATAAAAATCTAATGTATCCTTTTTCTCCCAAAACAAATTCAGATACCAGCTGGCTGAGTCTATGGCTAACACCAGCTCAGTATCACGGTCCCAGTCCAAAGAACTACCTTTTGTAAACCACACCACAAAAGGTTTTTAAGGGGTTGAATTCTATAAAATCACCTCAACTAACTCACATTCAAGAAGCCCTATGGATTTAAAGCAATATATAATTGCCAATTGTTACATTGTTGCCAATGTTTGGTACAAAATCCATAACTCTTTATTTAACAGAATTGTTAATGCATCTTTCATTACTTACACTCGAGAAAGTAACTGGAAATATGACATGCAACTGAGAAAACACAAACTGCGGCTGAAAATCTTTAAAACAGAATAAAAGTTAAATGTAGCTAATGTACCCTACAGCTAAATGTAGAAATAGTTACCGTGACAAAGAAAGTCTGGATCGCTGTTTCATCTTTGTCATACATGTATTTCCCGAGCAGTGTGCCTTCCTCTTCATACTCATCATCAAGGCCCTGAAGGAGGAAACATCAGGATTCCAGGTCACACAACTTTGGATCAGAATACTTGGTTTCTTTTTCTGATGGATTTTTAAACAAACATTGTTTTGCCACCTCAAACAAAATTGCTGACTGTTTAAAGATTTCTTTTGAAAGTTAATGAAACAGCATTATCTTTTAAAAAACGGTTCTCCCTTTCTTCTCCCTTGTCTTGTCTTGACAAGTCTGGTTGTGACTTGTTACTGAGCAGCCCGGTGTTCCAGAACAAGATACTTTGTTTAGCCATTCAATCCTCTTTCTGATCACCCTTCTGATGGATATGAGCTGCGGTAACTTATTGCACAAGGAACCCAAAGCGCAAACCAGGACCATGTCACAATGACCAGCATACTTGATTGCCTCTCTGCCCTGAAAACAGCATTTCCTATCCTTTTGTTTCCTGTATATATTAATTATACTTACGTAGACGCTGAACTGCTTGGGAGAACTGCTGATGTTGCCAGTCGGTGACAGGGACTTTGGTATGTGCTCCAGTGTAAAGGCAACAGGGTGAACCTTTACAGAAAGGCGAATAACTAGATAGCCCTGTGATCCTTTGAATGCCCAGCAGTTCCCAGGGTAAACATCTGGCTACAAGGAAGAAGAGATGTGTCAGCAAAGCTAGAAAGATTAAACTCTTCCTGAAGCGATGTCAATGCATTCAAACCTACAATTTCTTCAAAACAATGTTCATACTTCAATTCATCTCTGTGCCCTTTCTGATGGGTCAGAGTGAATTTCCCACGTTTTGTTACATCCAGCAGTTCTGAGGGGGAAACTAGCATTATAAACACTACCCTGCAATGCCACGAGAGGCAGCAGCTATCAATAAAAGCAAATGTATTGGCTTCAGCAGACTCAGACAGTAATACAGTAAATGGGACAGCAGATGGTACTGCAATGCAGCTCTATAACACAATAAAAACACCAAGATTTCAATTTCCAATACCACATTAAGAGTTAACTTTATCAGAATAGTCGATTTCTTAACACAGTTAACTGAAATAGACATTGTACAAGCAGGAGGTGGGGAAATTTCTGCGTCTCTGTACCTGTGAACTTAAATGCTTTGGGAACTGCACCCAATAGCACAGAAAGCATATCTCAAGCACCTCACCTGGATCACCACTCTCGGGGACTGTGAGAAATACCAAAGTGGAATTCCAAAAAGACTCATCAGAGCTGTTTTAGTTTCGTAGGTTTCAGAACAGCGAGTGCTCAAGATGCTGCCACCTACAAACAAACCATACGCTTGATCAGCAAGTCTGTATTTGCAGATTAAATAAACTACACCACAAAAGGTTTTTAAGGAGGGGGTTGAATTCTATAAAATCATCTCAACTAACACATTCAAGAAGCCCAATAGATTTATATTAATGATATGTATTATATATAATATATAATAATCCTTGCATTTGATATAGCATCTTATCATGTCTTCAAAGAGCTTCACAGAATATGCTGTATATTTTGTGGGTGAAACACGGAGGTCAATTGCTCACAGCAGTGTTCCACAAACAGTCGTGGATTGAGTGACCAAATATTATACAAATAAAAAAATCTGCTGATCTGCCACTTCTAACAGCTTTCATACAGCCACTTCAACAATCAATTTGCTAGCTTGAATGATATTAAACAAAGAAGAATTCAACAAAGCCACATTAGTCCTGAGAAACTATCCAAATATTTTACAAAAACAGGCAATGAGTTTGTAGCATTACTTCTACATGATCAAATTGTGGCCCAGTGTTGCACTCAGGTTATGAACTAAGTTATTTTATCAAGTACCAGGAACGCCCAATGTCAAGTAAATGAAACAAGTTACAGGTTTGACTGGTTGCTTTTACAAAGAAACAATGTTTGGATTTTGTAGCATGTCATTTTCAGCCAGAGATCAAATGTAGAGCTTCCAGCTCCGAAATAAACAATGACACAATTTATACAAAAGAAAATGATTTTCTTCAGTTAAATGATTTAAAATGTGGACGATCAAAAGAGGGGTAAGAGAGTAAGGAAGCTGGAATTCAGTTTGATTTTTTAAAAACAGCTTCATGGAGCTTTCGTAACCAAGGGCTTAATGCAGGCGGCACATTGTTCCAAGTGCAGTGTATGCAAATATTACCTCAGAAATAGCAGGTGAACTTGAATGAACAAACAATACAACAAACTGATTCTATCTCTGTCAAGATAAGTGTGAAGGATATTTATGCTCCGTTCACCAAGGTTTTTTAAAAAAAAACCTAATTGGGAGGTGTATGATCCATGGCTAGATTCGAGTCTATACAGAACAACAACAACTTGCATTTATATAGCACCCCCACGGAGGGTAGCATCCCAGAGCGCTTGATAGTGAAGGAGCACGATGCCAAGTCGGGGGAAGATCGGGAATCTGGCACTTAAGCCAGGAACTACTCAACTTGGAATGACTCAAGCTTCCCATGCAGCAGTGACTTCACTAACTGCTTTCTGCAACTGATGGGCGTGTTAATCTTGGGTTAAAATCATTTGTAGTATAGTTTGCCTATTCAAATCAACTTAATTTAAACGTAGCTCCTGGAAGTTACATCCTTCTGTACGTGGTCAAAAGGCACGTTTTGTTAAAGGGTGCCACGGTACACAAATACATATGACATTCTAATCGTATTGCGGCTGTTGTACTTTAAGGAATGTTACATGTATAATCCTGTCATAACAAAAACAGGTATATTGTCCTTGTACAAGGCTGAATTTGTAACCATTTATTACACAGAAATGGTTAGGTAAAGTATATAGGATGGGTTCCACGAAGGACATTACACTTACATTGTCTAAACAAAACTATACTGTCTTCATAATTTGCTTTAACTGGAATTTGTAACTGTGATGGAGTTTCAAACTGACTTTTAAAGTATATTAAAAATTGATTTGTTTCTATTTGATACTTCACATTCACAGCAATTGCGAGGAGAGACTTGGAAAGCACAAACAAATAATTATTTATGCTCACCTCCAGATTCCAAAGCAAAATCCACCATGCCGGTCTGATCTTCACTGTATAATTTCAAAGCATTTTTCACAATCATATGCACTTGCTGTGAGGGAGTCGGGAAGAGACAATTAAAGGTAAGGCGAGAAAAAAAGACAAGCAATTTACATCCTAAAAAGCTGGCAAGTATTTTGGGATTATAAAGTTACATTTATTCACTCCTCAAAGCACGTGAATGAAGATTCATCAAGTCACAGTAAACTGAAAGTGATTGAAATCCATTACTTGTATAAGACTCTTAAGAGGATTATTTCCACTCTGGTTTAAAACCTTAGGGTGAAAAGGTAACACTGGAACACTTTCCTATCCTCTACAAGATGGTGTGGGTGTGTTTCAGTCCAGGAACAGTGGAATGCAGAGCAGAACATAAAATAAGAACCCAAAATAGTAACTAAATTAGTGAACACACTCACTAAGGTGGAAAATGATAAGTTGCTCCAAGAAATAAAATGCCTTTCTATTAGCATTAATCATTTCCATGGTAGAAATTGCATAAAACTCCCTATATTGTCTGCAACAATGCTCATTATCCCCAGTATTCACGAATTTACTGAGTTGGCCCAAGCTCATTTAATAGCACATTCAAAGTCAGTTGGGAGACATACGTCTAGTCCCATTAACCAGGGGCCAAATTCAAATCAGTCCTACAGGAAATATGAATATGAAGAAAACTGCAACTTTTTTTTAAAAAAAATTGAAATCTGTCAATCAACCATAAGGAACATCCAGCAACATGAACACTCAACAGTAATGTTCTCTGTGATATCTCAAAGATGGCTGAAAGAACGCGCTCAGATGTAAATGGGTTGAGAGGTAAGATTTCAACAACGTTGTCCCAAAGATAATGTGCAAGTTCTTTCACACCTCAAACTGAATAAATCCTTTAAAGCCTCAATCTGAATCTTAATTGATGGTTTGATAAAATCTTTGTTCCGGTGTGGTCAGACCTTCAAAATGATTTAACTGGTGAGTCTGCAGACCAGAGAGGGGACTCAGATCAGAGACAAAGTGATCAAGAGTGGACTATATTTTCACCCATAAATATACAGTCAATTCACTTTACAGTACATTCTGTAAAGCGTTTGAGATGTCTAGAAGATTTGAAAAGTGCTATATCAAATGCAAGATTATTATTTTATTTATTAAGAGAAAAAGAACGAGTGGGAGAACCATTAAGTCTTCTTATGCATTTATAGTATTCTTTCAGTATCTGGATTTTTTTTATATAACTGGTGAGATCATGGATATATTCCCATCCAATTTCATTGAATGCTCAGGTTGATTTGAGCTTGGTCATACCTATGTAAACACAACACATACTGCATGATAGATTCAGAAGGAGCGAATATGGATGGGCGTAGCTGAGATTGGGTACAATCTGCCTACTCTGCACATTAAACAAAAGCAATTCTAATATAATGCACAGGGCATTCGAATTTCAGTTGTGCTCACCTGCTCTGAAATGCCACCGATTCCTGCATTGTTGACTGCACATGTAGCAGTCTCTGCATCCGGCATTTTTTTGGTTTCCACCCAATACTGCGTAAGATTTTTCAGGATTTTCACTTCAAGACTTTTTAATAGGGACTGGAAATCAGTTTGGCTGACAAACTGCGAAGACAGCCAATCCTTGAAGGATTCAGGTGAAGTTTCTTGATGGCTCCCAAACACCAGTAAGTTGACCAGTTCTCTGACTTGAGCATCTACCTGTAAAAGCAGGGTGGCAAGTGATTTACACACAGCACACAAACAAAATTGTTGGAACTTCTGTGCCTTCAATCTCCCTGCCCTCCACCCTCCCCGAGCCCCAGCTCGGATCTAGAACTCTGTCTGTCCAGTGCCTTGGGACATCCTCCCGACGTGAAAGGCGCCATACAAATATAATTTTGTTGTTGGTGTTGCTTAAAGTCATCGCTAAAGAAAAAAGCATTCATCCATTGGGGGCAGTAGCTTTAAGCGCAACACATACAGCAATTTCAGCAAACCTTTTTTTAATAACAAAATGGATTAATTAACACTTACGTTCCCCTGTATTGTATCCATTTTTGCACAAGATGCTTTCAAATCATGCATATTTGACAGTTCTGATTTAACTGTGGACAATTCAAGGTCAAGTCTCTTCAGTTCAGACACAAGGTGATGGTACTGTTCTTTGCTCTGACCACTTGAAAAATAAATCAAAGCTACATGTAGCAGGCAATGAGAAATGTTACATGTTGTAGATTACAGCAATGTGGTACCAGTATCACAGGACAAAACTAACAACTTACTTCACAAGGCTGTTTTTTGCAGTTACCACTTCCTTGTGAACCTCCTAGTGGAGTAAAAGAAAAATCATTAGTTTTATATTAAGAAATGGCATTCATAGTAATACATTTTTGAGAAACTCAACAGATGCAATGCATTGCGAAAAGCCCAAATCCATGGGAAATCCACGGACTTGGCGACCCTGCCTATTTGCGCAATAAGATTCATAGCAGAAGGCCAACTAGAATGTTCAACAATAAAAATTCAGGCCAGCATTGTTTCAGAAACATTGGAAGCCAGTAATTATTGTGCAAGAAAGATGTCACAAGACAGATTATATTGTATCAAAGCTGAGTCTGATGAATACAATGGATTTAAGCAAACAAGGATTACTGATATAATTATTCAGACTTTCACAGTTCACAAAACTTTCTGGCTTGAATACAATTTCAATTATTGCTTAACAGAACTTGTAAAATACATTCGGAAAATTGCTCAAATACAAGAGCATATTACAATTATACTAATGTAACAGAACAGTTGCAGACGCAATGATTCAAACTGGCCTCCAACAGCCCTAATTAATGCGCAAGTAGCAACGTTGACAATTGCATCAGACACAGAGCAGCCTTACATTTAAAAATTCTAGTCTTTTCAGGTTTTCGATCTGCGCTTGCAAGAAACCCACAACAATCACGTGTAAAGATCTCTAGCGGAAGCCGGGAGTTGCTTTGAAACATCAAGTAGCTTTGTTTCCAGCTCCTTTGAACTACAACGACAAGTTCCTTGTATGGACAGAATGAGAAAGCCACAACTGGTCATACCTCAGATTTGCTGGATAAACTCTGAAGCAGAAACTCTAGTTCAGCAATCCGTGACTCAAGTTTCTGATGTAAAGCCACAAACTTGCTCTGGGACAGAAAGGAGAAGTTTGTTTTTCAAAACAAAATATTCATATAAATAAAACATACCAAATCAGTTCCAAAACAAATAAATGCTTGCACTCTGCTTATGAAAGCGGACTTAACAGAACGAAAACACTAACGCTGCCAAATTTGGCTGTTCTAAAGTTTGTACAAGTTTGATCTACTGGTCATTTAACAAGAAAACTGAATAAATGAATTGTCACAAATAGCAGTTTCTCACACTTCCCAGGAACATTTCAGAGTTACCAATAATTGGAGGATGGCAATGGAAGATGCTTGACTGGTTCAATTGAACAGAACCAAATATCTTTTGCCCAAGTTGGATATGTTTACACATTGAGTTGGCAAATACTAATAATATTTAGAGAGCCAGTTGTGTCTCCCGTTCACAAGAAAAAACGACTAGCACTTACGACCAGTTTCTGGAGCACTATATATGTTGTGGGTGGGGATGGTTAGCAATTTTGTAGCAGAAAATAATAATAATAAACCTTGCATTTGATATAGTGCCTTATCTCGTCTTCAAGATGTCTCAAAGTGCTTCACAAATTATACTGTAAAGTAAATTAACTGTTACATAATTAAATATAATTTGGACTTCCTGTTCTGAAATCCCTTGAGCATTATAAGCTTTCGCCCACAAATAATCGGTCAATTCACTTTACAGCATATTCTGTGAAGCGCTTTGAAACATCAAGAAGATGTGAAAAGCGTTATACCAAATGCAAGGATTATTATTTTATTATAGGCACAGAATGGTTGCACACGACACACTTGACCAGGGTCATCTTTGACTGGAATATTCCAAGCAGCTTACCTCCTTAACATCAGTTCCTTCCCTTTTCATCTCTTCCCGAAGCAATTGCACATGCTGGCTGATAGCATTTCTTATCAGAACCAGGATTGTTTCTTTGTCACTCATTATCTTAACCTGGTCCTTTAGTTTTTGCAGCAAACTTGCAAAATGACTGTAACGATCATCTGAAGTTTGGGTGCTTTGAACACATCGGTCATTTAATGCAGCGATCTGCTTTTCTAGCTCAGCCACACGATGCCAGTCCCAAGAGTGTCCAGTACTCTGAAAGAGAAGCCACTGGGAGTCACAAAGCCGAACCTATTACTTTAATGAACACTGCACAAAATATTTGGTGGAAAGAGTTACCAGTGGAAATGGAATAGAAGTAGAAGCCTCCTCATTTGTTTGGATATTTGGTAAAATTTCTTTTGAACTCTGAGTTGTCTGCACTGCTGTCCCATTAAAAATAGGCAAGAACGCCCATAGACCTGCCAGGCCAAAGTACCATAAACCTATCAGGAAAAAAAAGACAGCCTTCATGGTTAACTTGCTGTACATAAATATTTACAATAAAGAGTTAACATGTACAATAAAATGTCACAGCAGACTTGAATGGCTGAAGAACCTAGTCCTACTGCTGAGGTTAAATTATTTTCAATGGATAAACCGTAAAATAGTAGTTCAACAACTTCTATGTAAATCTTTGCTTCTGCCATTAAATAGTTTTATGTTAATATATTTTGATTCTGTAATTCACAATGCAAATGGCAATTACTGCAATACATAGTACTTTTTAAAAAAGGGTTTCCACCACACCAGCCTCCCTTCCCACCACCCACGTAGTCCCACTGCTATTTATCAAGTTATCTGCACCTAAACACATTTTAAAACAAGCCACCAGGTGGAGCGTCTTGGTTTAATAGTACTAGTCTATCTGTGAGAATGGGTCAGTCAGCTGATACACATTTTAAAAAAGTTTGGAACAAATGCTACGATAGACACAAAATAAATTAGAGAAAGTGAAGAAAGGGAAAGAAATTCTATGGAAACTCACCACGTAGATCAAACAGATGGAGGAATTTTGACCATATTAGCAGGTTAATCTCACGAGTGAGTCATGACAAACTATCTAAAACCACATACTACTGAACATACAATGTTTGTCATCATATCTATAGGTTCCACACATTAGCCCTTAAAGAAATCATCTAAACCGTAACAATTTGCACTATTAGGTTATCTAAGGTAACACAGCACCTTTACAAATTACACACCGGTACAGTATTTGTTGCCATGTCCATATGTCCCTAGCATTAAGTGTTAGTGCTGCAGATCTAGTCTTTGGAGATGTTTAAATATTAAATTCTTGTACAGTACATTTGTTTACATAGAGCACTTTATTTGATAGGTGGATTCGATAAACTGTCAATCCAACTCGGATTCTTTTCCCCCCAGCATGTTTTGGCACTGGTCGTCAGCCAGTGCTTCATTTAGTTGTACATTTTAACTACATCTTATTGTTAAGTGCTAGTTTGTGAATATGTACTTACCGAACAAAAGAAGAAACGGGATCAACAAAAGCAACCACCTGAGAAATTTGGGAAGGCATCTGAGAATTCCAAAAAAATTACAATAAGCTCCTGATAACTCGATTCTGGTTTAACTTGTCACTACCACTTCATGTCATCCTGCTATCAATATCTTGGCCATATTTATTTACATATTTATACATATGCCTAACTGCCACTCCTGATAACTTAGTCACTGAGCCCTCTCCCTTGGGAGTGACAAGTTATCAGACAAGTGCATCTAAAAAAGGCCTTTTAAACCAATCCTAAATTACTAGAACTTGCATTAAAAAAAAATGTACGTTCCAGATACTCCCCGAGTGCGCACTGTAGATTTACTAGAATGTTGCCGGGGATGAGAGGAATCAACTATAAAAAATGGACAGGTTGAAGCTTTTTTCTCTGGAGATAATATTCCTTGCATTTTATATAGCATCTTAACACATCTTCCAGACGTCTCAAAGTGCTTCATGGAATATACTGTAAAGTGAATTGGCTGTATTTTGTAGGCGAAACACGGCAGCCAATTGTGCACCGGAATGTCCCACAAACAGTCATGGATTGAAGTGATCAATTTTTTAAAGAAATTATTACCCCCGGAAAAGCGATCCGCCAATCGACTAACAACCGGGATCCTACTTACCTCTAGGTAAACAGAGGCGTGTGGAGTAAGGAAGCTTGCCCAACATTTCGCCCTGCTGGGAGTTGAACCCAGGTCCCCTGCTTGTGAGGCGAGTGCTCTAACCACTGATCTACAGGACTTCAGAAGAGGCATTTGAGAGGATTTGATAGAAGTGTTTAAAATCATGAAAGGGTTCAATAAGGTGGATATATAATATTAATAAAAGGAATAGAAGGGCCTGCCCATGTGAAGTATAAGTAACAGCTCAGCTAGTTGGGCCGAATGGCTGATTTTGGTGCTATGTAATTCTGGGTTTTACAGCCTATGTAATTCTATACTTTCATAGAAACATTTTTGGACCAAAAAAGATCATTGCAGTCTTGACTTCAGAACATACCTGGTGAGCAAAAATACATCAAGGAGAGACATTAGAGTAATCAGTTGGTACCATCCAGTTCCAAGCCACCAGAACGCTGCAGATGCTGCCTTCCCTGCAAGAATGAAAAAAGAATGATCACGATCAAGTAACAAGATGCTCACTCAGGGGAAAGGAAGAATTCTGAAGCACATGCAAATCCTGCAAAGGAAGAAGCTGTACGAACATTGCCAACTACATTTCTGTAAGGGCATACAAGTCTCAAAGCAAGCACTACATATACGAATAAAGCAAGGAGAACTCAGCCATGATGCAGCACTACTAAAACCATCCCACTATTGCACAAAGCTTTGTGCTGGAGGTCAACAGGGTTCTACAACACAGCCATGCAGTGCAAGCTACAGCACCAAGCCTGAAAAAAACAGATGGAACAGATGCTGAACATAATAAAAAAAATAAAAATTAAATAACCTGGAGAAACAATTGCCAACCACAGAATAGATAAGATCTTCCTGGATATAAACCAGGCAGCCGCACCACCAGCCTGCATCACTTGCAGCAAGAGAGAACCTACAAATATAAAGCAAATCAATCTGCAAACGTTTTGAAATTGAAGCAATTCTGCTGACAATGGTTACGTATTACGCCACACAAGTTAATGGAAAATTGTTATAAAAGGGCTCAACATGTCCCAATGTCACTGGCACTACATCTCACAGCATTTTTCACAACATTGCGGCTGCAAATAAGAGGATAAAAATAAATCAAAAGAAATGTCTAAAAGTTAACCTGCATAAGCAAAGATCAGCCAGACAGTCCTTGTGATTCGTGTGAACTTCGTGCACTTTGTGGACTGCAACTCAATGGATCTGTGGGTATCATGTTTCATCCCCTTACAGTCATCACCTGTTGATTATTGCAGTACAATAAATTAGCGGGTGAAATAAAGTGGACCCAGATTGTGGTCAAGTGCATTTTACCCCACAGAAAACCACGAGCGACAACAGCAGGCTTGAATCCTGAATACTTACACAAAGATTCCCCATTTATATTCAGATGTCCATCCCCAGTAATCAACTCTTTTACATTCATTCTTCCACAGTAACTTGAATGGGCTGCAACACAGAAACCAATTCTTAACTGTATTTTGAGATAAGAGCAAAATATTTCTGCAAATTCTGGGCTATCTGGGCATATAGATGCTGTATTTCCATGTAGCCAGGACAACACCGATCATGCATGCCAACATATTCATTAAAAGGTCAATCGACCACCCGTGTAAGCAAGCACAGAACTGAAGATATGGCTCACTTAAGACCCATTAACAGTGTTAATTGCACAAAAACTCAACTGTAAGCTCATTCTGAGTGTCTTTCAGTGCAGCAGGAAGTTTAGATGCAACCAAGTGAGGAAGACCAAGCAAAGGCCTGAAACTGAACATCAGCAGCAAAGAGAAAAGCTGTGACATTTATTATTTCAGCAGAGTAATTAGAAGGTTTAAAATATATCGTACTTTTTAGCATTTCAGAAGAAAAAACAAAACAAATGGACCACAGCCAGTATCTTATAGTGCAAGGTACGAGAATTCAGAACAAGCGAATGCATTATTTGAGGAAGAAAAAAAATCGGCCATTATAGGCAGTGCAAATAGACTGAAGGACATGCAAGCACTTTGTTCCTTCCCAATTATGTACCTTTGGAGTAAAACCCAGTCTTCATCAAAATTGTCTGATAAAGTTGTAAAAACCATGCAAGTGTAGTTGTAACAGCATACTTTGCCAACTTAAACTTCTGATTCGTGAATAACTGAATTCCTCCTAAATAAAATGAAGTAAATGCAGCGTTTTTTTAAAATATCATTGTTCTTACATTCAGAAGCACTTCCCGAGTCAGATCAATGGAATTAAAAATATAATAGCAGAGAAGCTGGTGCAAGGAAATGGAGCACTTCCTTATTTGGGGAACGCAAGTATCTTACTGAACAGTCTCATGCCACAAAGTGAAATTAGATGCACATTTCTTCTCTTTCTGCACCAACCTTAGAACAGTGCTCCCTAATGCACCGGCAATATTTTCCACTCCACATACCAGCTAAACTCAAGCCCAAAAGTGAGACTTCTAAGTTAAGAGCCCTTGTTTGAGATGACACATAATCAATTTACAAAAGGAACAAATCATTTATTCATCTATAGCAAAATTAAAATCCAGTATATGCTAATATCCTACAAATTATAATTACTCTCTCAAAAAAGTGAATTTTTTTGTTCAACTACTGCATCATACCAAAGGAAAACATATATATGGTCTGAAATCTGTAGCATTTGCCAATTTGCTGTTTTTGCTTTTATTGTACACAAAATTGGTATTGCAGTAAAGCTTCGCTTTCCCAACAAATACTTCCAGCTGCACTGATTTTTCCTCTCTCAGGCCCAGGGACTCTGAAGCTCTGAAAACAATTATAACACCTCACCTGCTGCACTGGTTAAGGTAATTACAGCACAGACCTGGAATTGAATCAGACAACTTTAAGGTTGTCCCAAATGCTTAGTTTGGGTAGTGGCTTTGCCAAAGCAAAAACGGTTTCGTTTTCATTCCACTTCCTGATTAAGTTATCTGTTCTTTTTAAACCTTTTCAAAGACAAAGCATCATTCTTCAACTAAGCAGGTGACCTAACACAAGCTTCCACCAATGCAACTGTTTAGTCTAGTATCATGAGATGGTGACCAAAGCTCGAACTACGTAGTTGGAAGTTATCTCACCACCTCCTTGAAGACACTACCCATAGAATATTAAAAAAATATTTTTAAAAACTAAGTAGAGAAATGGGATCCACTGCTAGGTTGACCTAATTGTCAATCACTTACTTAATTTGTCCTTCTTGTTTCGGTTTCTGGAGTACACCATTGAAGATGCAGCATGGGAGGTGGAGTATGCAGTCAGGACATCATTTCTTTCAGAGAGAATACTGCAGTCAGAACAGGTGTAGCCATTAATCATGGCCATCTGCTTTTCAGCCATTACTACATCTCCATTTGCCCAATTTGAGGATGCATTACCACCTAGCACAATAAAGAGAATACAAGTTCAATTGTTCAAAGTATATATATCTGTGCCTAGCTCATGGACAATAATCTGTCAAATGGAACAAACAAGTGAAAACTTTTACCTTTAGTATCGTCATCATCATCTAACCCTATCAAAACAATAAAAAACATTTTTCATATTAGTCCCCTTCAAAGCATTTACCTTAAATATTTATGGCAATTTGTTTTGTACAATAGAGCAAACTAATTGTTCCCTGGCGCTGTTGCATTTCCAGGACTGATAGAGCTTATCCAGGATCAACATCAATGTGAATGTTCCAATCAATAACTGTAATTCAGTTGACAATCTATTTAGTTCATACACAAATATCTCTGCAGCCACAAAATAAAGAATGTTAAGCAGCATCAATGGGTCTAATTGGTAGCAATGATTAGATTCATTAATAAGAAATTCAAGTCATGCAAATGGAACTCCTTCCAATGACTGAAGTATGTCGAGCCAACCAACGGGAACTCTGCTCTAATGCAATCTACTACTTCTGAAGTGTTCAATGGGAATTTTAATGGTATCCTTTATTAAGAAATACTGTAAAATAGATCCCCCAAAAGAGGGTATTTTTTAAGGTTACGTGCATTGGGTTATACAGACGTGAAAACAGGCTTGAATGCAATTTACATTTAGCATCTTTCACATCAGGAGCATGTCTCAGTTTTTAGAATACAAACAAGCTTTTGAGAATATTCAGAATTTTATTAGTTTAACTTTAGATTTGGACAACTGTATATGGACCATATACACACAATGACTGTTCAAAGGTGGTACAATACAGAAATATGTATTCTATACACAGTGCCAAAAGATAAGAGTGTCACAATGTCCTTTGGCACAGGTACATATTAGGCAAATAAATAAATCTCAAAGATTGCTGGCATTAAAGCTTCTTGATTATTGCCAGCAATCTTTGAAAGTGAATGTTGTGTGTAAAGTTTGAGCTTAAAATAGATTCAAACCAGACTTTTTGGTTAGAATTGTAAGTTCCTGGCTACCAAAACCATGCATTTGTTCAGTATGGTTTTGTTTGTGCAGATACAGAGCATCATTCAAATTTGTGTTAAGGCTGCACTCTCCAACTCTCAATTCTCGTTTTATGCGGTAAAAGTGGTTTCCTAAAAGCATTTGTGGTTTCTAAGAGGATATCCTCAAAAACCATTCAACGCTGCACTAAACTCTTTTGCCATCAACAGGTGGTAGTGATAAAGCTTCTAAAAGATAGTGTTAAGCAAGGAACAAATGAAGGTTTTTAAATAATGCTGGTTTAATAATAACTAATAATTCAAAGCTTGACAGAGGAAATTGAATAAATTCAGATTTGAATTGGCAAACAATCCACTAAACGAGTCATCGATTTCATGACTGTTTACAGGACATTGCTGTGTGCAAATTGGTTGTCACGTTTGCCAACAAAATACATAAAACTCATGACACTTTAAAACATCTTGTGAAGCATTTGAAACATCTCCCGACATGAAAGGTGCTGCAATAAATGCAAGGATTATTGTTACAATATTTCAGCTATACTTTTTTTAAGGATTAACAAGTTTGAAGCAAGAATCAGGACATTGTATTACTTTTTAAAATTTTTTTTACAAATGGTTTGAAAGTTGACAATTTTGTATTACTTACCCCAAAAGTTTCCAAGTTCTGTTCTTTCTTGAATTGAAGACTCATCGAGTACTGTGGACAATATTGATGAATCACTGGTGTAACTAAGGATGCTACTCTGACCTGTCAGAGAGAGGTCACTTGAGATTTTCCTTGGAGTATGATGTGAAGCAGCAACAGACGGTTTGCTTACACTTCTGTGCTTCTGTTTTGAACTCCTAGAGATAGACCAGAGCAACTTTGGTGAAGATTATTCAATGCTTTCCCTTAAATAACTCTATTGAGACAGAAGAAGGGATAAGACTCTGTATGAAATACAAAGATTATTATTATACTAAAACGTATTGCTGCTGAAGGGTGCTTAATCAAGAAGCTTCCTCCATAATTTGTTGTTAATTTGTACGAGTTATACCCATTGCAGCTACGCTTGCAACCAAAGGACCCAATTCTAGATTTTGTTTGATTGGAGTCACCGATTTAAGCCTTGTGATTTGGGTAGATATGAAGAGAAACCCTCCCCATCCAATTTTCAAAGAAGAGTTTGGTTCCTCTATCCAAATTCACCACCAAAATTCAGATTGTCTATGTACCTCATTATTTGTGACATGTTGCTGCTGCTGTAAAAATTAGCTATCGTGTCTGATAACATTTGATTAGTCTCAGCACTTTGGGACACTTGTTTTATGTGAAAAGTATTATAGAAATTATTAAGCTTACCTAGATGAAGATTCTTTGTTGGACATGGACAGTACATTTCCTGCGTAAGAGTGGTTACCACACAAACTGTCATTGTGTACACGGTCTGGTGAATAGTATTCAGCGTTCACAGGACGCAACCTGCGTCGAGACATTCTTGGTGAATCATAAACTGGAGGCAGCTTATGCTTAGTTTCAAAATCCACTGCTTCTGTAGAGTAGCTGGAACTGTAATAAAACGCACCGGATTAGCATATCACAATGCAGACCACAATATTCATGAAAAACCTCAATACAAGAAAAGCTCTGAATGATCAACCTACTGGTGGCCAGATTCAGCTACGCTTTTTAAAAAATTTCTACATTTACAGTTCTTCTCAAAACACCAGTGATGAATGCGGACTTAAAAAACATGCAGTATGTATCGTGCAAGTTAAGACAGTGATTAATCTATGAATCTAAGGACAAAGGCGCTTGAAAACTAAAATAGATTTTGTGAATTTAATAAAATTACTACATCAGAAATTTAGGCAAATATTTAATAGTATAAATCACCAAAATTACACATTTTGTAAGATACAGCACATTTACATTTAAATGTTCTGTGTTTATGGCAGCACTGAACAAATACTATTAATTAGGAAATGTCAAAGGCAGGCAAGTCTGCAGTAATTCAAGTGATTGTTGATGGCTGATCAGCCAGTCTAGCTCAATGTTCTCAATCCCGCAAGCCAAAGCCTAAAAGTAGAACTATCCTAGATAATACTTGCATTTGGTATAGCGCCTCTCATGTTAAGAGGACGTCTCAAAATGCTTCACAGGATTTACTGTGATAGAGAGGAACTATTTGTAGATGGAAAAGTGATAGTAAACTTACCAGTTCTTCATACCTCTTACAATTACTATTTTATGTCTATCTTTTGGGATCTTTCAAATCCTCATTTAATGTTTATATACGTTATAACAATAAATCCTCAGATCATTACCAACATAATAGGATGTAAAAGTAATGCAGTAACTTTTCCATGCTCCTCCCCATGATTCACAGGGACAGACAGATAAGATAATCTGTTCTGAGCTCTTGCTCAATTCTTCTTTGTAATCAATGTAGTCGGGAGCTGCAGAGGTTGATTCAGATTCATTTGGAATTATCTTTGGAACTATCTACAGTGCCAATCACTATTCCCAGCTTAATCATAGTCTCCCTGGAGCTTGTATACATTTGTGCCAAGAGCCAATTTAAGATAAATATTGACTAATTGCAATCACTGATCCTCTTCCGCTTTCAAAGCAAAAACCTCTCCAAGAAATATTTGTTTGGGACTAAAATAGATAGCATGTCACATATTAAAAAAATTAAATTTGCTTTAAATATCAAGCTATTAATATTTTACTGATTCGGGGTCCAAAACATCAAATTCATCGGAGTGGACTGCTTAGCAATTACATCTCTCTCTTGGAAACGCTACCTGTTGCTTCAAACTTTTTTTCTGACTCATATTGAAGGATGGGGCTTGTAACCAACAAGCAGACAATACAGCAATGTTAATAATGAGATGGACCCTGAGAGAACTCTGCAAGTGGTTGGTTTACATCGGCCTGCCTCCCAATGAAACATAACAATAATGTCCTTTTGTATTTTGAGCTTCCATACTCGTCAGAAGAGTAACAGAAGATTTGTGTGAGAATTTAAAAACAAATGTAATTAAGATTAAAACTCACTGAATGAACCAACAACATTTATAGACCTACAACAACAAAAAAAATTAATTTATAGAGCGTCTTTCACGTCGGGAGGACGTCCCAAAGCGCTGAACAGTCAGGTGTAGGGGCCCGAGCATGGGGGAGGGGTGGTATAGGGGTGAGGGAAGGCAGAGAGGTGGGAGGGAGACCAAAGGCACAATCGAGGAGCCAAACATCAACATTTGATGTGATTTCCCGAATGCAGTTTATAAATTAAATGTCAAGTAAGAGATGGTAGCTTCCCCAAATGGACAATGTACAATAATTCAACCAGATGCTCCATTTTAACATCTTAAAACACAAAACTCTTATGACAGTACCTAAAACTTTCTGTTTAATTGACAAACTGCATCAATGTAGATATATAAACAGCACAGGAATAACCAGTATTGTAGAGATAGTACTTTATATTGTAATAAATCTTAAACCCACATCTAGCTACAAGTGTTTCAACCACTATTTCACAGTGGTTGTCACTATCCTGCTCAAAATGTAAGCAAACCTTCCCATCAGATGTCAGTGATGAAATCCTCAATTTAGCAATTCAGAAGTTGAACACTCGCACTTCATTTAACAAAAGACTCATCAAGCATTACATTGATTAATATAATTAGTGGTAATATAAAATTTATATAGACCAATATGTCTAAAACATTAGTATTAGATTGCTAACTGTGATACCTCCCCTCATATTACCCAGCCAGTTGAACACTCTGCTCTCCAATATCTGAACAAGGAAAAAATCCAGTTTGCTTAACAATGTAAAGGTTTACAAATGCACTACAGCAAGTACTTCTATGCAACTTCACACCAATAAGCCCTAGATATGATTTCTCTTCATCAAACATTTTTTCACAATTGTAGCATTGATTCACCACACAAATCACAAAACTTTGACAACTTATGCATCACCACACGAGGGTCACGCAAACCACTTTAGTCATGTATATAATCTAGTGGTTTAAAGCCCCATGCAAATTTCTTCTTTTACTTTCATTTGAAATAATACATTTCCTCTCATATTGTGTGTTGTTTTGTGAGTCAGGAGAACAAACTCCAAACAGAGCCCGAAGGCTATTACCTATACTGCCCCCAATATCCTTCATTCCCTTATTCCCAAAGTGTGTTCTTTCATCTGTTACATGCCCAATCTCTTATAAACAAACAAACAAACAAACGAACGAACGAATGAATAAATAATCCTTACATTTGGTATAGCGCCTTTCACTTCCGGAGGATGTCCCAAAGTGCTTTTACAGGAAATACTGTAAAATGCAGTGATTATTTTTTGTAGGGGTAAAGGAGGCAGCCAATTTGCACACAGCATGGAGTAAATCATCAATTTTATTTAAAGGATTGTTGGCCAGGACATCAGGAGAGATTCCCTTCTCTTTTCAAAGAATGCCAAGGGATCTTTAATGTCCACCTGAACAGGCAGATGGGCATTGGCTCAACATCTCACCCGAAGGAAAGCAGTCACAATGCAGCACACCACAGCACTACTACACTGGAGTGTCAGGTTAGAATATGACTTTGAATTCCCGACATGAACCTACTTTTTTATTTCATGATCACAGTGTTAACAAGGCAAAGCCAGTCAGTTTCTTAGAATATAGGCTATGCATAGAAATTATCATAACCACATATAATTTAATGTCAAGCCAAATGGCAAGGTCGGCAAGACACAATTGTTCAAATCAAATTATCTGTCAAAACACTTGCCGACCATTCCACAAGAAATAATTAAAGGTAGGGCAGTAATCAACACCCTAATAAAGTATGGCCAACTCACCCTGAAATCCTCGCTTGACTCATCATGCTCTCCAACTACCGAGCCATCTCTAACCTTTCTTCCTCTTTAAGGTGCGGGAACGAGTCATTTCCACACCGCCCCCACCTCCCTTGCCAAAGCTTTACTCCTTCCTCTTCCACCATTTGCCTTTTTGAGCCCCTCCAATCTGGATTCCATCCCGCTCTAATAATGCCCAGGTCAAGATCCTAAATCTGAGTGCTCAATCTCTTGGCTTTCTCTGACCACCCGCACAACCTCTCCGTCCATGCTGCTGAGACTCTCACCCATCTTTTTCACCAAATAGGCTACGTTATTCCAACTCAATGCTTGCCCGACTCCGCAGCTCAATGTGCAGACCATCCAGAACTCTGAAGCCTGTGTACTCTCCTGTACCAAGCTACGTCAGCCTATAACCCTATTTTTGCTCGACTCCACTGGCTGTCCCATCCTCTAGCGGACCAATTTCAAGATCCTTGTCTTCATATTGAAATACCTCCATAGTCTCACCTCTCCTGTAACTCTGTAAAGAAATTCTGAAGTCTTCAATAATGCAACTAACAGAAAATATCACTTGGCCAGCAAACCCATTCAGCTCTTCACTACTTCATCAAAGCTGCAAAGTAGTGAAACAGTAACAACATTTTGCACCATGTGAAGTGGCAGAACACAGGACTATGCTCACACTGAGCTCCAATATAGACATTTACACAATGTCAAAAGTTATTAAAAAACAGCAATAAAGGTGGGAAAGAGAAATGCCTTTACGCACCGCACCCATTATGCACTTAAAGAGCAGCATTGGGCAGCTTAGTAAACCAGTTTAAATGGAAAATATGCAACAAACACATTTTCAGTGAGGTATGTAAACAGAACTCAATTCAACCTCAATTATAACAATAAGACATCTATTCATGGTCACTATTATTTGATTTAAGAGGAAAACAGAACTTACAATTTGATAATCAATTACCTTATAGACAATCTTGATTTGATTTTTAACCGGACGTATTGTTGAACTATCTTTACTTTCTGGTTTATAAGAAAGCCAACATTGTTACATTGCTGTACTTATCAGATGCCACCATGCTGATCGCATAGCAGTGATCTCCCTTAAATTCTAGGTTAACATTTCCTGATAGCACAAGCAGTTGGGAAAAAGCGCATTTAATATATGATCTAGATTTTCAATAAGGGTAGCGTTCCAAATTGCTTAAACAATTTGTCAAATTATTAACTATTAAATTCTGGATGATCTGAAATGTTTCATAAACTATTGTAGAGGAATTGAAGATCCCATTAAAATTTGATTTCCATAAGTTTGCATCATAGTAAACTTTACATAGTACTCTTCCTTTGTCACGAGGTACAATCAAAGCTAAGACCTTAACATATAAAAGGGAATTTGTTAAGCTTTTAAAACAAATAAAATGGAGTGGAGAAAGGGCAGTTTGCTAGGATTAAGCTGTATACCTCCAAATGAGAAAATTGCATAACATAAATGGAGCAATTTACATGCAGTAATTCCCATGTTGTTCACATAATTACTCACACCATTTTAAAATGTATTTTCTTTATTAATCAAACTTCTCTCCACACCAGATACTCATGAGCCAAATAATTTTAGTTGATTAAAAACTTGATCAAATGCTGGTTTCTCCTCTAAGGGACATAATGTACTTTTATATCATCATGAAATTGTGTACAGACATTTGAAACCTTGTCCAGGATATTCAAAGCGGAAATGGAGAAGAGTGACTCTTGTGTAAATCGGACACATCGTAGTTCTTTGTTTCATGCTGTAGGATTAGTTTATTTCAAAAGCCAATTATCAGCTCTGAGGCTTTTGAACAAGACAGTCTGCTTTCTACTTTAAACCTCCTATACTTGCTGATGTGCATCTGTCAGTATTGTTGGCCTCCTTCCATTAAACAAATATTGGCAGTGTTAGTGAGAAAGAAATGACAGCTGCAATTTTCTTGTAAACATGCGACTGTCATGTTTTTATACAAGTGTCCTCAGACAACTGGAATGCTCTCACCAGGTGTCTCATTCATGACAAAAAGAACTATTGAGAGAAGGCTTAATTAGAACAGGAGTCTTGAGCAGAGGGTGACATAAAATTAGACAACAATGTAGAATAAAACATTTACAAATAGGCTCCTTTAGAAATGCTCCAATTAACATTTCTATCACATTACAGGGCATTTTATGCTCACCTCAATAACCAGCAAAAATACTAAGTTTGGGCTTATTATTATATCAACTCTCATTTCTCACTTAAATTCCCTTTGCAACATCAACCGAGCTGTTCACATTGAAAACTAGTTTCATATTGCAATTGCCTTACTTTTAGTTTTGGAACAAATGCAGAACTACCAATGGTTTACATTCAATATAGTTGGTGCAAAGTCAAGACAATGTTTCACTGACTTTGTTGTGATACATTTTGTATGTGGTAAATTTAAATATTCTTTAACAAGTCATTGGATAGAAATTTATTTATAAATTAAAAACAGACACCATGCACCTTAGCTGCAAGTCTCACCTGAGTGCATAGGTATAGCCAGTGTTCTCTGGCACATATTGAGGAGGAGTGTATATATGTAGACGTGAAAAATCCATGGTCAATTCGTTCTACTGCAAGGGTGAAACAAATAACGTAATGCAATACTTCCAAGCAACTCAAGACCATGTACATTTCAGTTTACTATTATAAAAAGTCCAATCTGTGTTCAACCAGTTTATCCGTTACAAGATGCAATTATGTTTAAGCATGCAATTGAATCACTAAACCTATATCTTGCCAAGTGCTGGTATGAGATGCAGCCCAGAAAGCAGATAACACGTTTTCCCTGCAGTAATCCTACTGTTCAGATCTGACAATTACAAAAATATCATAGTGCCATTATGTTTTGGGCCACAGACTAATCAGCTTTGAAGTTATCTAACAAGATATGGACCATCCCATTGCTGGCATTATTTCAAATCGAAGGGTAATGGGGATTAAAAAAGTATTTTTTTCCAGTGTAATTTGTGCTACAATTTCTGTGGTTCTATACTACCCAGGATAGGTACTATCCATATACCATATGCTTCCCTATGCTTTTGTTAACATGAAAGTTTAAAAGTAAAATGATAACTTCTGGAAAAGACAGTTGGTGATATTACAAACAGTATTCAATATTTCACATTTTCCTTTTGAAGCAAATTCAATGGAACTTGAAGCAATTCAGCATTGTAGAACATCACATCTGACATTCTGCTGTTGAAAGTAAATAGGGTGGAAGTAAATACCCAAGAGGTTATCACACAAGTTATAAATGCAAGATATAGTTCCATATAGATTGAATTTAAAGTACGTCCAGGGAATGTTTACAAGACAGATTTGGTGTACTTTATGACCATAAAAAAGTTAAACATGTCTTAGGATTTTTGTACCAATTTTTGGACTGTTCAAAATGATAATAATAATCCTTGCATTTGATAAAGCGCTTTTTCACATCTTCGAGACGTCTCAAAGTGCTTCACAGAATGTACTGTAAAGTGAATTGACTGTATATTTTGTGGGCAAAACACGGCAGCCAATTGCGCACAGCAGTGTCCCACAAACATTTGTGCACTGAAGTGACCAAATTATTATTGTTTTTTTTGCTGAGGGATTATAATCAGGCGTGTGGAGTAAGGAAACTTGCCCTAAGGTTTCGCCCTACTGGGAATCAAACCCAGATCTCTTGCTTGCAAGTGCTCTAACCACTGAACTACAGGACTCCACTGTAGTCAAATGATAGCAATAACAGCTATTCCCCTATTTATTAATAGCTTTGTACGAGATTTGTACTTGTTATGTAACAAGCTTAAAATGCAGTGATGTTATATTCAGCATTAGAACTAGACATCATTATGCTGCTTATGGTTTTCTATAACAGAGAGCATATTGGTGAACACAAGAATATTCTAAACTGTTACCATTTACAAACATGCACAAACAAGCATTAATAATAGCTGAATTCTGATGCTCATGGTACCCTCATTAACTCCTAAAGAGTCTATTTCAGTATTTCACATAATGTTCCCCGACAAGATAATGAAATACTTGCATCATCTTATTTTGAATAACTCAAATAAATCATTCGATGATCAGAATTTCCCTTTCTGCATAGATGAATAGAAAATAAATTATTTTGCTAGCTTATATTTTCTTGAGGTTCAAGCACAAATGACAAGAGGTAAAATTCTGGAAGCAGACCGAGTGATTACGAGGACCAAAGATATTTCAGGGAATGGAAAGAGTCTTCAACATAGTAAATAGTGTTTTGGGGAAGGATCAGGTTCAAGAGACCTTGATTGCTATTTTAAATAGTCAACAACTTAGAAATTAGCTTTCTACAAATTTCATAAACCGGCTCCCTCCTCATATTTCAGGTCTCAATAAAGGTAAATTAATCCAGATACATAAACAAAGGATACTCTCCTGAAACTCGACACTTATTTGCATCAATCTTACAGGGCTTTGCATGCTTCTAAATTAAGCTTGTTAGTTATCCTCACCACTTTGACAATAAATTACATTACAGCTGCTTTTGAAGTTTGTTTCGCTCTGCAGATTCCTGAGGCAAAAGATTTTTAAAAATGCTCACTTTAAGTCAAATTCATTACATGCTAAAAATAATGTCTCAATTGAATACACTAAGCAATTTACATTTATGTTTTTAAACACTGTCAAAATCAGGAAACATTATTTCAATTTATTAGTGTTTGGGTAACAGATTCAGAATATTCCTATGTGACATCATGTGAGTATACGAGGCCTAATGCTGAATGAGGTGCACACGGGGGAAAACACACCGAAAAAATATACCTCTCTATCAGCCATCATGAAGAGCCAAAAATCAAGATTATCTGCACTTGTAACGTAACAAAAGCCTGTTCCATATAATGCAGTTCTATTCCATAAATTCTAGGCAAATCTAATTTTATTCCAATTAGATAAATAATAAATGTAATGCATTTTTCCCAATGCCATAGTTTGCATTAGATTTGTTAATGCTCAGAGCTTAATCGACATTTTCTGAGACCATATGTACAAAACATTTTGAAAGATTTACAAAACAATTAATTGGTACAGCTGTTAGCAATCTGAGCTTCTAACATCTCATGAATGTGATTTTTTTCAAACAAAATCATTAAAATTCTGCTCGTTGCTCAATTTGTGAGAATCGGTGACAGCCGAAAAATATTTTGTGATAATGTCTGGACATGCTGGTGCACTTGATAATACCCATTAATGTTGATTTGAGCATGGAACAGGAAAGCAGGAGCAGTAGATAAGACATTTATAAATGTGACCCATGCACATGCTATCTTACGAGATCAGTCTCTCTCACATATACACACTTTCATAAACATTCTTGCGAAACTAATCTAAAAATGAACTGCTTCCATCCTGCAAGTTTCCAACATTAAAATGAAAATCAAACTGTCACTTCTCAAAAGTAGTCATCCAGAAACAGTGGAGGGCGGTTGTGGAAAGGAAGAGAAAAATAAGTATCACATCTGCTATTATCAAAAATGCCTTAAATACAGTCAGTGTTAAACACACAAACAGTTGTGCAGCTCAAGGCAACATACAACTAATCCACTGAAAGAGATTGTGCTTGAACAATGAATATTTCAAAATATATTTTTGTAATCGCCCCTCAAAGTATTCCTTCACTATAAATCTATGGTCCATAAAATGCCTGATTGTTTCAGATACATTTATATGCACTGTTTTCTTGTTTTCGTAAGTTATTTCCAAGATTTTATTTTAATTGATTATAAAAACATTAACCTCATTTTCATATGAATAATCTAAGGGAGGTCAAATGCCGAGACAATTAAAAGGCAGGCTAACAGGCTGAACACACGGGTACAACGTCAACACGCAGTAAAGAAACAAAACATGCACAACAAGACTGAAGCCAAACATTAATGAAGACAAAATAAATTACACCAATTGTTCATGCATGTAGGAAAAGTGTGAAATTAGCTATATATGTCTACTGTATCAAACAGCATGCCTTAGTTTAGGCCATTGACTCTTTAAAAAACAATATTTCACATTACATCTGCCATGCATTCAGACGTACTGGAAATATTTAAGCATCAAGCAATATATAGTAAGTCAGCCTGCAACAGAAGACTTGCCCATGCAACCTTCAGTGATTCTGCTTGTATAACCTTCTGATGCAAATTCGCAAGACAGCAAACCCAAATGTTCTACGTTCACTGCTCTGATTTACATCTCTAGATGCAGGGGAGTCTTCCCATAGTGCAAATCCTTGTATTCACTGTTGGTTAATGCTAATTGAAAGCAAACTTTCACAACTTGCCGATGAACATTTCTGAGTCAACACCACAGCATTCCAAAATGGCTTCCCGGTTTCCACAAAGCATGAAGGATTACAAATAAGATCCACCTCCTGCAAACTACTACTGTCAGTCAGAAGGAACCTTTAAATCTATTGGCCATTGCAGCTGCTCACAGCCAACTGACAAGAAGACATTTAACTCTTCAGGATGTCAACCCACTGCAGTAGTGCCTTGACAGTACAGTGGGAGAGAGAAAGGGAGGAGAAAACAGAGGAGAGAAGGAACAGGACTGTACTCAAATACTTTAACTCCTTAACTGCCGTATTGTACTAATCAGTAGTAAAATTCTTTGATATTAAGAGAACCAATTCCTATATTGCTTTTATTTTAGTTTGGTACCATTGGTACCATTATTAGGAAACAAAATTGATTTTTATAGCACCTTTTCACGTTGAAATGCCTCAAAATACTTTTGTGCTGCAAGCAGCAGGCACTTAATTATATTTTGTTAATCTTTCACCTACTAAAAATCTGAATATCATTTGAATATCCAGTTGGCTAAGAACATAAACATTGTGCATTTCACAATAGTTATATTCAAAACCTTCACAGCCTAATGGATTTATTTTAAAAGAAGAGATATTTATAGCATTCTCCCAGAATTTTGAAATGTCATAATTCAGGAGTTTTCCTTAATATTTTAATATTCAGAATTCAGAAACCAGAAGCTTGTTAGGATGTCAAACCTGCTTCTTCTAACAAGTCATGAAGCAATATATATTTGTACTTCAATAAATACTCTATATTCTCATGGTATTGATCACAGGCTACATAAATTGGAAAAGTGAAATTCATAAAATCATAGAATTATACAGCACAGAAGGAGGCTATTCAGCCCATCGTGTCTGTGCTGGCTCTTTGAAAAGAGTTAACAATTCAATCCCACTCTGCTCTCTCCCCGCAGCCCTGCAAACTTATCCTCCCCAAATAATTATCTACTTCTCTCTTAAAAGCTGTTATCGAATCGGCTTTCACCGCCCTTTCAGGCAATGCATTCCAGATCCGAACAACTCAGTGTGTAAACAAATTTCTCCTCACTATGCTCTTTTAACAACTATTTTAAAGTCTGTGCCCTCAGGTTACCGACCCACCTGCCAGTGGAAATAGTTTCTCCTTGTTGAATCCCCTCACAATTTTGAAACCTTCTATTAAGTCCCCTCTTAACCTTCTCTGCTCCAAGGAGAACAATCCTGGCTTCTCTCGCCTCTCCTGATAACTGAAGTCCCTCATTCCTGGTACCATCCTGGTAAATCTCCTTGGCACCCTCTCCAATTGATTCAGCTTTATTGATTCACGGTTTTGATGAATGTCTTGTTTCAAACGATTGACCAAGTCAGGACAAAATATAAAATAACAAGTGATCCCTCTTACCTTTAAAACTATCACAATATTGCTTTTACATTTGCAGTCCCTAAAGTTATAAAATTGCAATAAATTCTCTAATAACTCAAAACCTTCAAACCTCTTGTTCATTTCATAATTGCTAGCATATTTTTTGGCACGGTCATTCCACCGGAAATCTGGTCCGTGTTACGCCCTTATAGAATTATACTTGTGAAAAACTTTGCAATTCTCATTTGTCATCATTTTGAAACATCTCCAAAGTCTACCACTGTCCACTTATCCAGTGGTTTGACCACTGTCAAACCAATTTGTCTCATGTTTCACACATCTAGTTTTAATCACAAGCTGCTTTGTCTGAACTGCAATCTGTTGATAGACAAAAAAAAGTAAACTCTGAGATTCCCCAGCAGCTCTGCTCTCCCACTTTGCCTCCTCTCCACATAATTGAGCTATTCTATATCGAATCACATGCAAATGATTCATCAACTTCCTTCCTTCAGATCACATCCTCTAAATCCAAAATAACCTTCACTGTTCAGTGAATTCATCACTGATCTTTAATCGTAGAATTATATAGCACAGAGGGAGGCTATTCAGCCCATCGTGTCTGTGCTGGCTCTTTGAAAAGAGCTACCCAAATCAATCCCACTCCCCCGCTGTCTCCCCATAGCTCTGCAAACGTGTCCTCCCCAAATAATTATCTACTTCTCTCTTAAAAGTTGTTATTGAATCAACTTCCACCACCCTTTCAGGCAATGCATTCCAGATCCGAACAACTTGCGGCATTCCTCAGGGCTCTGTCCTCGGTCCCCTCCTCTTCACCCTCTACCTGCTCCCCCTTGGTGACATCATCCGCAGACATGGGGTAAATTTCCACATGTCATGCGGATGACACCCAACTCTATCTCTCTGCCTCCACCCTCAACTGCAGGACTACTGGCGTCCTGACCGACTGCCTGTCCGACATCAAGTCCTGGACAAGGGACAACTTTCTCCAGCTGAACGTCAGCAAGACCGAGGGCCTCCTGATTGGCTCGGGCCGGAGCCTCCGCACCTCGGGCGCTGGCAGCAACAGCATCCACGGCTGCGCACTCAACCTCACTAAGCCAGTCAGGAACCTGGGTGTCTTGTTTGACCCTGAACTGTCCTTTCTTCCCCACATCCGCGCCATGACCGGCACTGCCCACCACCACCTCCGCGCCATGACTCTGCCACTGCCTCACCCCTCAGGCTGCGAAACCCTTACCCATGCACTTGTCACATCAAGGATCGATTATAGAAATTCTCTCCTCATCGGCCTTCCCAACTCTTCCCTTCGCAAGCTGCAGATCATTCAAAACTCTGCCGTTCATGTACTCTCGCGCACCAGGCTCCGTGACCCCATCACTCCCATTCTCGAATTCAAGATCCTCTATGGCCTTGCCCCCGCCTACCTCATTAACCTGCCCACTTCCTCTGTTCAGCGGGCTCCGGCCTGCTCCCGCCCGACCTGCCCTACCATCAGTGGCCGAGCTTTCAACCTCTCTGCCCCCACACTCTGGAACTCCATCTCACAGTCCCTTCGGCTCGCTTCCTCCCATGCCTCCTTCAAAACCGGTCTCAGGACCCTCCTCTTCGATCGTGCCTTCGGTCACCCTTCCACCTTTCTGCCTTCCCAAACTCCTACCCCACTCCTCCCCCATGCTCAGGTCCTGACCTCTGAATCTCCATCAAGTGCCTTGGAACATCCTCCCGATGTGAAAGACACTCTATAAATGTAATTTTGTTGTTGATTCAGGAAGTTTGATTTTTTTGAGTACAGTATTCATTCTAAAACACAGATGAATTACATTGTCCTTTACCACCAAGAATTTTTACAATGTGCTGCATGAGCAAACTAATGACATGTAATTACATTTGTAAGTAAAACGTGTCTCTTTGGGAACATAGGCTACCAAATGCTTACTGATATATCCAAACGTACCTTACAGTAGTTTAATCTTATCTATGCACAAGAAAGCTTGCAGCAGTTTCAATAGCCTACAATAGCACGTCTACTAATAACCAACAGTGCATAGGTCAAGATTATTCTGGTCCCAGGTTGAAAAAAAGTGCTCAGGTATGTCACCTTCACACGACATTTCAAACCACATCTCCAGCTTACTTTACACAAGCCTCATACTTTAATAGCCCGACTTCCCTGAAGCAATTGTTTTCATTTCCCTGTTTGTTTTGACCTGTACAGCATTTTTTTTCATACCAAGTACGCAGCTGAAAGCATGCGCACGCAATTTGCATTTTGCCTCCCATCCTACACAAGCAATCTGCACTTAAACCTTTTTCACTCCTTCTTCAGAAAACAAGGGGCTGCATGAATGCAGCTCAGAGCAAGTGAATCAATATCCAAGAAAAGCCAGCCTCCACGGGATACAATCATGAATAATAGCTTGTGTGAGTGGAACCAAGGACACAAAGCTGTGCCTTGCCATTCTTTAGTATGTTATTGACTTGGTCTTTTGTTATTACATTTGATGGCTTAATGGTGTCAAATCCTCAGAAGTCATTATTTTGAAAAAAAATTATCCTCTGATGTCAAGGTGGCAGTCAACAATTACTGGCCTCTTGTTTTGTTGCACGAGAACTAAAGCACAAATAGTGGTTTAATCCATGTTTCTGAGTTGTTTATCATTGTCATAATCTGGTCTCTGCAGCCTTAACTACAGAACTGACACCTGCCCTATTCACCTGTCCACTTCACAAATGTTTTTGGGTGTAGCTCTATTCATTCCAGGATAATGTTCTTAAATAGCCAAAAATCCAAAATAGCCATCCATTAACATTATTAGTTACAGAAAATATTCTTCCCCTTTTTCTTTGTAATGGTACAAAGAAACTTCTTGTATTGGATGGTTCTGAATTTGGTTATTCTCTATGTTAATAGTCATACACTAAAATCATCGAAGGGTTTGTTTCATTATCAATAGGAAGTTTCAGTTTGATTGTACTTTGCTTGCTTATTTTAGCAGATAATTTAAAACCATAAAAATACAACATGCCAGGAAATACGAGTCAGTTATATTGGCATAGTTAGTAATTAAGTACTAAAACAAACAAAAATTCACTAATAGTCAGGCTTAGCCCTGATGATACAAATACGTAGTACAATTACAGTAGTGTAAAACTACATCCAAACAGGAGCAGTAGCCAAGATTCAACGTCAAGTTGGGCACAAATTCAAACTTTCAGTTGTTACAACAGATGTCAGCCTTGAATACAAAAGAAAGAGGTCATAGATTTTCTTTTCCTTTCAAACAACCAACCGTCTGCTCAACAGAATGACTCTCAATCTCCACAAAAACGTTGAAGCATTTGATTGAAATCTTTCATGTCAAAACAATATTCCAGCTCCTAACCACTCCCTTCCTCTTGGAAAAACACTATAAGGGGAATCCCAGAGAAAAATGGACGGAAACTGAAGAATTCGTACCAAAGACTGCTATCATCAAAAATAAGCGAGGGGAATTCTTCTGCTTAAACTGGAGATCTTAGTCTCAAAGACATGTCCTGAAACGAACTGTAGTTGCTTTAGATACAGTCCGAGAAAACAGCAAGAACGGCTACGTCACGATTATGAAAAAGTACAGTTCTTAATCCATATTAAATTGTTTTAATTCATGGAAATCACTGGTAA